GCCGCAGCATTCCCTGCAGGCTCTGAAGCGAACTCCCCAACTAAGGCCGTCGCATCGAGTTCAGAGATCAAATCGACCTTTCAGCTGCAGCTAGACGTGCGCATGAAGACTCGAAAGTGTCTTGCCTCGGCAGAGAGGAGCATCTCATGCCATTTCTGCAGCTGTTCCTGAAATCGCTCGATTAGCCTCACGCCCCTCTCTAACGTCGCCACCCAGTGACTCAGTGCCTGCGGAGAGAGGTCTGCGATGTCGGCGCGCGACAAGTGGCCTACCTGAAACCCGAAGCGTGAAGCTTCGACTCCTTCTGGCCCTCGCTCGGCGGTCGGTCTCTTCTGCAAAGCTTGCAAAGCTTGCTTGTTTGCTTGTTTTTTCCTCCCTCTCTCGGTATCACCCTGTCCCTCTTTCCCTGGTTCCCTCTGTTGCACCGCAGATGCGCTTTCCCGAGAATCACAGACCATGTCAACCGGATTGCACGAGCATCCATGTCGAAGTCATCCGCCGCGTCCTCATCGCCTCCACCAGCTGCAGACGAACATCACAGCATCCATACGCTCCGATGCCGAAAGCCTTCATCGTCTGGAAGGTCTCCATCGCCGAGGCCGAGATCAGACGCCTGACTGTGTTTGATGTAGTGCTAGCTGCTAGCAGCGCCTCAGCAAATCACTGCAGGTTGTCCTGATCTTCGTCGAAGTCATCATCGAAACCGCCAGCATCGTCGTCCATCTGCATAAGTGAGGAACCGCAGCAGCGACGGCAACAGAAATTGCGACAGCCACAGCTACATTTTTTCATTCACACGCAGCGGGGGAGGACTGTCTGTGGTGAAACTTTTCGTCCACGCTTTGCGAGGGATCGACCTAGTGCCCTGCTTACTACTTGCGCGGTCACTCTTCACGGCAAGCCGTGCCTCAACACTGCACTTGCGCACGCTCCGCCCCTCAAGGCTGCAAGCTGTGAAGTGGGAAGTCGAGTTACGATTTCGGCACTAGCTGAAAGCTAACCGGCTTGGTTGCAATGTATCACTGGCTGATTGGCAGCAGATCATTTTGCACTCAGCTGCTGGGGAGAAACTCCACCAGCTGTACACACATGGCAAGGGGAGAAACTCCTCCGATTGTTGGGGAGAGTCTCCTCCTAAGGGAGCATCTCCGCAAGGCGTCTGGCTCAGGAAGAGGCTGCCATGAGACGATCTTGTCCCTGCTGAGTGTTGCCTCTGTTCCCATTTTGGTTTCTGGCTGCTCCATTCCCTCAGCCTCCGCTTCCTCGTCCCCTGCTTTTGCCCCCTCGCTGTTGTCCTCTGCCTCGTTGCTGGGGAGTACCTCCACCACGCTGTCGCTTCAGGGGAGAATCTCCACCTGACGGACCTGCGTCTCCCCGTTTAGGGGCAGAGCTCTCATCCATCGATGCTCGCTGGAAGAGCTCTTGCAGAGACATTACTCGGGAGATTGGCTACGTCCTGGGGCTCGTGAGAGACGGCGCTGCGAGCTAGGAAGATGACGTAGCTATTTTCTTGAAGCAGGGGATCTTCGAGGGTACAGGGACTAGGGGGGTGGGAGTCATCACCAACATACCAGGCATCTGCTGTGCGTACAGCTGCACGGTAATGGCCACTAGTGGACTCCATTCCTAGGTGAATGATCACTGCCTCTACTGTGTAGGTACAGAACGAAACTCGGGATGTGTGGTCCAGGAAGACAGGGATCTGGACTTGCTGTGGGATTGTGATGCGAGTGTGATCCTTGGCTTCACCTGCGAATCTCGGCAAGGCTAAGCACACCTGCTGTGCAGCTTCTATGAGAGCACATGAGCGCTCCTGAGACGACCATGCCACTAGCATGTCCTGTAGGTTGGTCTTGATCGCCGTGGCAAGATGAATGGGAGAGCCCCCTTCTTCGTCCACTATCACGCCTTCCGGTACTGAGGCTCTAGTTTCCCACTGTCCAAATCTTGATGCAGAGAGATTCCGAAACACTTGCTGCAGGAACTCAGCAGAGTCGTGCTGGCCTCCGTCAAAGAGCCAGCCCATGGTGAGCTCCGAGAAGACTCTGTGTTCAGGTGTTATTCTCGCAAGCTGACTGATCCGGGATGCCTCTTGGAAAGTCGCCTCTGAAGGATCTGATAGCCAGTGGAGACACTGCAGACCTGAGTTGGCATAGCAGTGGTTGCGAGTATTGGCTAGCAGGAGAAAGCCTTCCAGTCTAAACACGGGGTGAGGAATTCCTGGCGTTGAATCTGAAGGCTTCTTTGTGACTGTCTTCGCCGATGCCGTGGACTTTGCTCGAGTATATTCGCGGGGCTGCTTGCTGAGCTGCTGGCGCGCTACCTCCTGCAGTACGTGCACCTGCAGTAATGGAACGCACTGCTGAGCATGTCTACCCGGGGCATCCACACGAAGTTTGCAGTATCGACAGCTATCTCCTTTGTGGAAGAAGACCTTGAATTGATTGAGTCTTGGTTGGAGAGTTTTCTCCAGCTTGGCCATCACCTCAGGATGCTGCTTGTTTAAATGCTGTTTGGCTCCTTTCTGGCCTACGAGGACCTGACCACAGAGTGCGCAGTGTTCCATCAGGTAATCATGGAACGCCGGATTTCGAGCGGCGCCTTCTGGATTGTCCTGGGCATCAGACTGTAGACTTTCTACGAGTGAGATCCGGTTCTGTGCTTCTAAGGGTAGCTCTTCCTGCTGTCTAAGCAAAAGCTCTACCCTAGGGCAGGTAGATGCTTCGACATGTTTGCGCAGATAAAACACTGTTCGGAATGTTGCTCGACAGGCGATGCAAGTTGCTGACCCTGGCATTGAATGCAAAATAGGATCAAATTTGGGTCCTTTCAGGCACTGCTGAGAATCTGGGTGAGCCTTCTGCAGGTGGCGACGGAGTGCTCCGGTGCCAGAGAGACATGCTCCACATTCACCGCAGGTCAGAAGCCTATCCTCCACATGGTGCGAGGAGAAGTCCGTGGAGAGGCCTTCCAATGCCTGGCTAACTGCCTCAGCACGCAACTTATAGTGTGGGAGAAGCTGGGGATCGGAGTGTTGCTGTCTCTTTATAAACTGGGTCATTCTCTTTTGCAGCTGCTCCTTCACGTGAGGAATCCGTAATCTCCGGAGTAACTCCTGGTTTGATTCCTTCGTTTCCTGGGAGTAACTCCGCAGGACGAATCTGAGTTGGTACATCATGTGTGAATGGAGCTTTTGCAATCCCTGCTGTGTCATCCCCACCACGTGGAGTGCATACAGAGCAGAGGCCCACGCAGTTATTGTCCAAATCGACAGACGACGTCTGTCTGATAAGACTCGGTGGTTCCGAACTGCATGGGCTACTTCTGACATTGCAAGCTTACTGGATGACAGCCGATGTTTGAGAGTCTTCATTTCATAGTCGTGATAAGAAAGAATGACCCCCAAGTATGGGACCTGATAGCGCAGCGATATCAACCTGCCCGAAGGGAGTTCAACATACTTCTCTCCCTCGACCTGGCGAAAGAGTTTCTTCCTAATGGTCGAGGCTGAGCCCCCTTGCAGCTGTAGCAGAATTGCTGACTTGGACGGATTGACCTTGAACCCAAGCTCTACCAGCTGATCCAGAAGCAGGTCGCAGTACCCTAGTGCTGTCATGAGGCCGGCCTCAGAGTCGAAATGCGACTGGATCAAGCTATCATCTGCGTACATTGTGAGGAGCTTCACTAGTTCTGCTGGGCTGATTTTCCCAGAGAGCTTCCTAAAGAGAAGCCCTGATGCAAAGGCGAATAAAGAGGGTGCTAGCTTACATCCCTGCTTGATTCCCCTGCGTGTGGCTATCTCAAAGCTCTGATCGCTGGCTGTCATCTTATACAAGGCTTTGATGTGGAGATGGCCTACCACCTCTATCAGAAGAGGATCTGCTTGTTCGGCTTCCAGGGCCTCTCTTAATCGCAGCCTGTTTACAGTGTCAAAAGCTTTGCTCATGTCCACGCTCATGGTGAGACTGCCTCTGAGCTTGAGCCCCTGTTGTCCCTTACCTGCAGCCCTAGTGGTGAGGGCCTGTCTGAACCTGGCCTGGTCCACATGTGTGAGGGCCTTGCAGATAGCCTCCTCTGTGCCCCTGCCTGGGACAAAGCCGAACTGAGAGACGCCGGTCATTGCTAGCTGGAGGGTAGACTTGAGTCTCTTCCTCACGAGTCCGGCTAGGACCTTACCCTCAGGTGCTATCACCCCGATCGGACGGAGTGAGGTTGGTTTGTCTGGCTTCTTGGGAGGCTTTGGGAGCCAGGAGATCTGTGACGAGGTGACACTGTCCGAGAGCCTTCCTGCAGTGACTTCCCTATTAAGGGTGTCCGAGATTAGCCGGATTGCTTGGGGACCTAGGGAGCGCCAGGCTACTACGGGAGGACTCTCTTTAGGAACCGCCTTGCCCAGCTTTATTGTGCCAAGCTGTTCTTGCACTTCTTGCTCAGTGATGTGCAGGCTGCCTTGTATCCCTGAAAGCGGGAAGTCATCCCCTGCTCCAAACAGGTCTAGGGAATATTCCTCTAATTGTCTTCTTTCTTCCTTGGCAGTAAGGAAGCGACCCTCAGAATCACGAAGCTGAACTCTTTCCTGGGGCCTCCCCGACCTGAAGCGCTTGATTACCTTGTAAAGGGAATGACTCCCGTCCTGCTTGGACTTAAGCTCTGCCTGCTGGAGTTGTTCATCTATTTCCTGCCGCCGCCGCTCCTGCTTGTGACGCTTTGCTACCCTCGCCTGTGCACTTTGCTGGGAGAACGAGCACCAGCATCGGAACACCATACGGACCTGCAGCTCGGGCAAGAACTCTGCTAAGACCTTGACTGCTAGTGGGAGTGAGCGCAACACAGAGCGCTCTTCCCAGATGCTGAGATCTGATCTTTGTGCTGCTTCCTTTCTCTTGGGAAAGTGAGTCGCGAGGGCTGAGTTCATTGCTTGATGGAGACTCTGCCAGGTTTGGGGATGATCCTGAAGGAGGGAGTCTACCTCCCTGGCAAATGCCTGTATTTTCGGGGAACGGTGTCTGTAGCAGTCCTCCATTGCCTGCTGGTCATAGGGTTTTGAGGCTTGGGCGGAGTATCTCCTGCTGTGCCTCAGTTTACCAAGAAGGGGGAAATGCCTACTACCATCCCTCCAGGATGCAACTGGGAAGGTCCTTAGTGGCCGGCAAAACCTGGCGGGGCCTTGGGACTGTGCAATCCTGACAAACGAGAAGTCAATCTGTGAAACAGAGTTGCCTTGTTCGTGGGTGGCTGGTCTATGCACTCCCCAAGTGTTGGTTGCGACTAGCTGGTGCTCCGACAGTAGGGTCTGGAGATCCTTAGATCCGCGATGCCCGAGTCTGCAAGCCTGGATCGTGCATGGCCCTACGTGTTTGTTGTCGGTTTTGAGCGAGGAGTTAAAATCTCCTAGCACAAGGAGAGTGTTGCGATTGGGAACAGCTCGGATGGACTTACTTAGGGAGTGAAGGGTCTGCTTCCGGGTTTCCTTATTCTGAGCGACTGTCTCCTTGGAGCGCCAAACGTATTGATAGCAGCTGAAGACGTCCAGTGAGATGCCGTTGCTCGGCACCCGGACCTGGAGAACTCTTCCTGGAACAACCTCGTTGTAGCGAAGATCCTGTGACTTGCACAGCGTGGAGTGCACCATTATGAGGACCCCGGCTCCCTTCTCCCCTGTAGAACCAGAGCTGATCACGTGCCAGCCTGACTTGCTGAATTGCCAAGAGCCCCTCCAGTGTGTTTCCTGAATTGCTACCAGCTTCACATCCTGAAATGCGGCACTTTGCAGTACGGAGAGTAACTCTTCCCAAACTGCTGTTGTGAGAGATCCTGCATTCCAGGATAGATAGCTGAGATTCTTATCTTCTGTAAATTTCGAAGGCCGAGTCCTTCTGCCGGGATTGGTGGGCTTTACATGTGCCGGAGCAACTCCAAGCTCTGTTGACGACATCGTCTTTCCCTTGTAGACCGCACTACCTTCAAGCAGAGCTTTACGTGCTGCCCTTTGATAAGAGCGTTTACCCTTCCCTTTAGGAACGGGCTGATGCTTGGTCGAACCACTAGGCTGTTTCGCAGCACTCATGTTGAGTACGGCTCCTGTCGGCTTCGCAATACCGACAACCCTCACCTCTGGGAGATGTTAGAGAGCTGTAAATCTAATACTCCCTCCCGGACTTGGGACCGGGACTGCTCAGGCGCTGACAAATGCCATGGCAAGAAAGGAAAAAGGCAACTGTACTGGCCTGACCTTTCCTGAGCCGAGAGGCTTGCCACAGCTACAGCAACAGCCACAACAACAACGACAACAGCAGCCAACGCCATTTTCGCGACCTCGTTACGCTTGTTCAGAAGAGGCTGGCCTTGCTTGCCGGCGATATTGCAGTGCTCCTTGCTGACAAATTCGTGCAGCTCGCTGCAGCACTGCGACAGAGACCCTGCTTTGCAAGCCGCCTTGTCCGACTCAACGGCTCTCAATGCCGAACGTCTGCGCCTGGTTACATGACATGTCCAACAGCTTCCAGCACTATTGAACATGCCCGGGCTCATGGCGATCGCTTCACGCTTGACGCACTGCCGTCTCTAAGGCTATATGCAAGACTGTGGTCCGAGGGCACCCGTCCATGTCAAGTCTTACGCAACCCATGTTGCTGGCAACACAAGCACTCCAAAGGCAGGCAGGCGCAAGAGACATGAAGGAAGCTCTTTATTTTGCGAACCAGTGCTAGAGCTTCACGTCCTCGGTCAATACATGCCGTGTGCGAGCTGCGGTCAAAGGCTAACTAAGGATAAGGACACGGTTGAACCAAATCCAGCAAAGGCTCGATAAACATCGCTTTCGATGACCGGGGATGGACAATAGTTCTGCCCGGGTCCTGACAGCAACCAGCAGATAGCAGCAGCACCACACAGGCACCGCATCAACCAACGAGCTCGAGTCAGGCTGGCATCCTCGCCAAGATCCAGCTGCCTCCTCAAAGGCCTCCCAAGGGGAATAACGTACTTCAACCGGCAACCAGCAAGGCTGCCCAGGGCATCCCAGGGCCTGCCAGCATCGTGGCTGAGGAGGTGTGCGTACTCCAAGGCCGGGCCTTAGAAACAAGTTTCGGTGTTCTCTCCCCTCTCGCTATGTGACGCGCTGCTGCGCTGCTGCTGCGCGTTTGCTCTGCGAGCCGTGCCCAGGAGCAGGCCGGCGGCCCCCGCGGACGCTACCCGCAGGGAGCCACCTGCCCAGAGGCTTCGCCAGCCTCGCAAGTTGTGCGCTTTGAGCCCAGGCCCGCCAAATCTGGCCTTAAATCCATAATCTTTCTTCGGCCTGTCGCCTGATACGTCTCGCGGAGAGTTGCGAAGAAACGAGCAACCTTCACAGGCGCACTTTGGCACAAATTAGCACTCGTGAATCCTTAGCCTTGACCCTCCTGAAGCCATCATCCCGTGAGGTCATCATCCGGTGGATCTTCGAGGGCGACGTCCACAGCCGAGACAACGCAACAAAGCTGACACAAGTCCTGCATCTTCGTCTTCACCATGTCCATCGGCTGCGTGACAATGGCAGCGCCCATCGCGCACACCTGACGTGACACGTGTAGATCTTCGTCACTCGACTTGAGCTCAACTTCTGTGAGCCTAAGGCTTAAGTCCTAAGTCCTCAGTAAGTACTGCTGCTGCTGCTGCTGACCCTCATGCCCGATGATACAACGACTGTGCGTGCCATCCTTGGAATCCCCACGGAGCTGACGAAGGCAGACTGCACGGCTCGCTGCCGCATGGTTGCTGCATCAAACTCCTGCAGTCTCGCACGTGCCAGTTATGATTGCCACGTTGGGGGCTTTTCCCTCTCGGCGAAAATCCCGATCCCAGACGTGTGCTGATTCCGCATGTGAAACGGACATCGAAAAGCCGCTACCACAACACAGAACCTGAAAAGCGAGCAGCCCCCTCTGGTAGCCTGCAGTTGCGAGCACAGATTCGATGCAGGATGGCACGAGTAGCAGAGAGAGGCCTTGCTGAAGATCCTTGAAGCGCGAAGCCCTCGAAGTCCTTCTTGGCTCTTGGCTGCAGAGGAGCTCGCCGTACGGAATGGCAGTGCTTCAACTTGGGTTGATACCCGTGATCGCTGTCGGAACCAGATTCACGGCCTGCTGCACCCGCTTTGCACGAGCAGCCCGTTTGCATTCACGCGCTAGGTACGGAGTGATTGAAATCCCTTAAAGCTTAGCGGGAAAGTAGGGGTTGGTAAAGTCGGACATTCGGCATGAAAATCCCGCTCGCCTCGGAGCGGCCGTCCAGTCTTCCCTCGAACATAACCGTGAGGCGCGTGTCGCTATACTGGGACAGCACGGTGCCAACAGAACCCGGTGGAACCAAGACGACACCCTGGTGAAGAATTGAAATCGCACGAACACGCTTGAGCTGAGCTGTTCGGCACCACAACGAAATAGAAATCAATGCTGCATAAATATGGCTGAATGGATGCAAGAGTCCTCCAACAAGATGTTTTCCACCGCCGACACACGCTGCCCCACTTTGAATCCACCTCTGGCAGGGAGGTCACGATATTTTTTCTTAGCTTTTTTGTCACTTGCAACAGAGCGGCCTATCAACTCCGTGCTTGGCAGAATCTCGAAGGCTTGCACATCAAGTCTGTTCTGCCCCTCGGTAACCGTGTCGAAACATACTGTGATCCTGTCAGGCAAGCTGGATGGACCCACGACGGTACCCAACGTTGCAAATGGAACTCTTACGGCAGAGGCAACAATCAGATCTTGAGAGGCAAGAACGCGTTGCCCGATACTCACACCGAACGTGCCAGGCAGTTGCGGCAAAAGCTCGTCCGGATTTACGTTGAAGACACCACTGATGCCCCACAGAAAGAAGTCAAACTTCACCTTGACCCGGCCCTCCTCGTGTCGCGCGAGAACAATGCCGCTTGTTCCAAAGGCCACAGCAAGGTTCTCTCCAACGAAAAGGTCCCGGGATGCTGCTACCTCTTGCCAAAGACCAAAGCCGCCTGCGATGCTTTCTTCAAGCTCCTGGTCCCTGATGTCCCTGCGGCGCTCAGCTAGTTCGCTTGCATGCTCAGCCTCCAGCCAGCTACGAAGAAGCTTAGACACACTTGGAAGTCTGTAGTCGATTTGCTTTCCACAGCCACTTGGACATCTGGCGCGAGGGGCTCCATCATCCAGCTTAACAACTGTCCATTGCTGCAGGCATGTCTTGCAGAAGGACTCTCCACAGCAGGGGAGCGTAACTGGATCCAACAAGACCTCCTGGCAAAGGTCGCAGATCCACTCTGCCGGAGCCATGGCAGATGCCCCAGCGGGGCGGTAGGCTGGCCACCCAAGCGAGGGTTTCGAGCAAAAATTAGATCTCAGGTCCTGAATTCGGGCTAGACCGGAATGGACCGCACTTCGCAAGACATCCTCCATGGAGCTGTCGTTCAGCATTACCTGGTTGAGGTACATGTAGCTGGACCTTTCTCAAGTCCATAGCAACGGTAGTTGAGAGACAAGCTCTGAGCAAACCGCCAGAAGGTTCCGGCAGCAAAGGCGTCCCGCAAAAGTGTGGGAATGAGGCCTAAGAGTACAGGCATAGCAAAGCCGCAGTCTCACAAGCTCAACTTGACCGAACCTGTCGAGTGCGGAAGATGGACTACTAACCGATGTTGGAGGCACGATGCACCTCGCCAGAGTGACCGAGGGCCGTCCGTGGTGATCACCTGGACAGCCAGGGCTGTGCTGAGCTCAGCATGTGTTTTTTTGTGCTGCCTACGCAGAAACTTGTTCGGGCCTCCCATGGGCCGCGTAATAAATGTGAAGCCCTCGTCTCTGGCAGCAACAGCGCCGCCTGCATCCAGCTGGAGAGCACTTCCAGACTGCTCGTGTCCGTTCGGAATGCCTGCCAAGACGTTCGGAAAAAGTCGAACGGCTGAACGACTGCGACTTGCACCTTGGACAGAGACGAACTTCGCATGACAACAAGGTTCTGAATGGGCAGCGCAATGCAGCCCCCGCCCCCCCCATGTTGCGCTGAAGAATATCGAAACGCTTGTACAGTGTCATCTATCAGGCCACCAAACCTGTCAGGGACCGTTTGCCTTCCGGAAAATGGCTGCACAAAAATCCGCAAGCGCCGCCATGCATGCAAATCATGGTGCCGTGAATCTTTCATCATCTTTCATCTTTGCAACCGCCTGACAGCGCCCAGGACCGTCACAACACACCGGCGACGCGTTAGTCTGGAAGGAGACTGCCGTGAAAACCGACAGCGAACGAACCAGGTCCCACAAGTTGCACTTGCGTGTGATGCTGGCAGCTGGCTTTTTTTCCTTCGGAGACGTGGAGCCTACCGTCCTGATCAGGTCCCACCCCAGAAGGTACGAAAGCGTTTCCCACTCTGGGAGCCTGACAGCCTTGGCTACCAGTCCTGCTTCCAGGACCTGTCCAAACAGCGAACTTGTCGCACGCCGAGCAGAAGACTGAATACACCATGCAACACTTGGACTGGGCCTCCTTTGAACCTCGCTGCACCTGCCAAGCCCAAATCTGCACAGAGCTTCCCAGGAGCTAAAGTCTTTCACATACTGTAGCAAGCACCACATCAACAGCAGCTTCCTGACCGGTAGCAACACTGAATCTTGCTTGGTCGCCTTTAGCACCATGGAACAAGCCCCCAGAATTCTCGAACATATCGCCTATGCTGCCATTTCTTTACTGTGGAAGTGGGGAGGCATTAAAAACCAGAATCAATTCAAATTAGCCGACCCCCTTCGACACGTTCGTCGCTGGTGCAGCAAGACACAACTGGCCCTCAAGTTGTCGCTGCCCACGGTGCGATTGCTCGCCTCGTAACCCAGCAGAAACGCTGCAGGTCCCGCTGCAGAGCAGAAGAGCGCCTAAGCATGAAACATCGACACGGGATGCTGCCCGGCTGATGCTCAGCAACTACTCGGCTTTGCACCGGAACAAGTCCGCGGAAAAAGCCGCCTCCACATGTTTCAAGACAGAATGGCTGGATGGTCGAGCAAAGCGGTCTCCAAGAGCTCTGAAGTGCTTGCTTTCACCAAACGGGTGAGGGATCCAACAAAAGAACAATTAAAAGATCAAACAGACTACTTACGGGATAAAAAACAGCTTGAGGGATCAAACCTGTATCATAAGCAGATTGAAGAGGAGGCAGGGTAATGCGCGTTCCAGGTGGAAGGCTTTCTTTCAATCAGGCTTGCGTCAAGCTATTCGGCAATTACAATTTCCATCCTTGCCTTTTGCAGCAAAGTAGTGGGGAACTACAGTTTCAGGGTTCTTCCGCTTGCATCAAGCTATTGGAGGAGTTCAATTTTCAGGGTTTTGATTTGCATCTAGCGACTGGGGAATTCCAACTAGCAGTGTCCGTACTTGTTTCAAGCTATTGTTGCTTCCTCCCCCAAACACAATTCGCTGAAAGGAGGGGAAGGGGGGGGGCGCAACCCCCCTTACCCGTTTGTTTTGGAACGGCTTCATGAATGAAGGAAAGGAATGTCCGTTGACAGCACGCCGTCCTTTCAAGCAAATTCACATGGCTTAACATTTGAAAAGAGCGGGTGGGGGGGGTAAGGGTCCCTCTTCTTTGCAAACCGAATTCTCGCAGAAAGGCTGCTTGAAGGCACGTCCATCGATGGCGCGTCATTCTTCGAAGCAAATTCGCATGGCTCAAAATTTAACGCGCGCAGTATATGTGTACACTATTTTCGCTTTGCACTGCTTGGCTCGGCTTGGTTTGAACGGGGGTTGGGGGAGGGGGCGGCTTTATACTCGTGTGGACACACACACATATATATATATGTGTGTACACAGATATATATATATGCTCACCCCCCCCCCCCATGACAGACCGTCGTGGGGAAGGGGAAGGGTGGCGTGCGTCCCCAGGCAGGATCTGTCAACGGATAGGCGACAAACACTTCTCCCAAACTCAATTCCAAAATGTTCTTTTAGATGGTTTGCAATTTTTGGAAATTTCTTCACACGCATGCAGCGCTCCTAGTCCCAATCTTAATCTCAATTCTGCTCTTCGTACCACTATTACTGTTTGTAGATCTTAATTCTTGTATCAGTGTTAGCATTAGTATTAGTTTTGTGGTAGTATTGATATTAGGATGTTTAGTATGAGTAATAGTATTCGAATTAGTATTACTCTTAGTATTAGCATTAAGTATGTGTCTTGATGTTAATAGTAGTAGTCGTCGTACTAGCAATAGTTGTCGCACAGCAGTAGTAGTGGTAGCATTAGTATTGGTATTTGTATTAGTATTAGAATGAGTATTAGTATTAGTATTAGTGACTAGTATGAGTATCAGTATTAGTTTTAGTATTAAGTATGTGTACTAGTAGTAGTAGTAGTAGTAGTAGTCGTAGTAGTAGCAGTAGTAGTAGCAGCAGTAGTGGTGACATTAGTATTGGTATGAGTATGAGTATTAGAATTAGTAGCTAGTATTAGTACTAGTATTAGTGTTAGGATTAATATGTATTGTTCTTGGTTCTATTCTTAGTACTGCTGTCATTGTTTGTAGTAGTCCTAATCCTGGTATCAGTGTTCATATGAGTAATAGTTTTGTGGTAGTATTGATATTAGGATGGGTATTGCTTTAGTACTAGTATTGGTATTGGTATTTAGTATTAGTATTAGCATCAGTATTAGTATTAGTATTGAATAAAAGTATACATATCAATAATAGTAAATATGAACTCGTGATTATGTTCGTGCTGGTGTTAGTGCCAGTGTCGATGTCAATGTCAGTAATAGTACTCGTGTTAGTATTAGTATCAGTCTGAATGCTGGTTTTAGTATCTGTTTATTATTCACAGAAGTGCTGGTATTAGTATCAGTAATAGAAATAGTTTTGATATGTGAATATACTGATTGATTCGTACATTTTGAGCTTAATATAATAATACAGTAATGTATTCGAACAATAGTATATTTGCAGAGTTGAAGATTGCGCGAATATATTAGTACGTTGGTGCATGAGTACATTAGTATATTGGTGTATCATGATATTCGTATGTTAACGTAGTAGTATATTAGTATATTATTATAGTGGTCTATTACTACATTTACTATATTCGTATTTTCCCTAATAGCTTATAGGTATATCAATATGTTGGCATAATGGCATGTGAACATGTCAGTGTACTTGCCTTTTACAGTATTCGTATATTAGTACACTAGCATATTTAGTGATAATTAGTGTTGATGCCAGTGCCATTGTCGATGTAAGTTTCAATCAGTCTCAATGATGAATTTAACATCAGTGTAATATTCGCGGACGTGCTAGTATGCGTATCAATACTATAATTAGTTTTGATATATTAGTATACTGATAGATTATATAAACAGCTTAGTATACCAACACATTATAATGTATTCGAACAGTAATATGTTTGTATACCTGTATGTTTGTATGCTCTTAGTATATTAATGAATGCGTACGTTCGTGCATGGGTACATTAGTACATTGGTGTGCTATTATCTTCGATTCTTAACATATTAGTGTATGAGTATCCTGGTATGCTACTTCACTTATCATATTCGTAGATTATCTAACAACTTTTTTGGTATATCCATATGTTAGTATACCATTGCCATGTGTCAGTGTACTTGCGTATTACAGTGTTCGTGTCTTAGCAAGTTAGCATATCAATACAGTATAATCAGACGTTAACAAGTAGTATATTGTCACGTTGGAAACTGGGTATATGACAAATTAAATACGAATATACTACGTTAGTACACGAATGCATTGATATATTTGCTTTTCAGATAGTGGTATGTATATCTGCGGACATTAATATACGCAGGTGTCTGTTAGTATTGGCATTAATATCAATATGAATATGACTATTGGTAGGCGTAGGAGTATTAATGTTAATAATAGAATTAGTAATGTGCATATTCGAAATGAAAGCATTAATATACATGTCAACGTTAGTGTTAAAAGCACTACACAGTAATCTTACTTGAGTCATATATAGAGCAGATTCCAGCATTTCCAAAATTTCCAAAATTTCCAAAATTCTCTCCCCTAACTTTCCGGATTTCCAAAGTTTCCAAAATTTCCAAAATTTCTAAAATTTCTAAAATTTCCAAAATTTCCAAAATTTCCAAAATTTCCAAAATTTCTAAAATTTCCAAAATTTCCAAAATTTCCAAAATTTCCAAAAAGTCCGCCCTTATGTTTTGGAAAAATATATCCTGTCAACTAGGTCGGAAAATTTTGGAAATTTTGGAAATTTTGGAAATTTTAGAAATTTTGGAAATTTTGGAAATCTGGAAAGTTAGGGGAGAGAATTTTGGAAATTTTGGAAATTTTGGAAATGCTGGAATCTGCTCTATATATGACTCAAGTAAGATTACTGTGTAGTGCTTACTATGTAGTGTGTCAGCACAACCCTCATCCATGCACGTGTGCTCTGTAATTCCTTTCTTGGTAGGACACCCGCGCGCCTTATCGTGCTGCTTTCTGGTCTCAGTCTTTTGGTGGTTCCAGGGATACGTTCGGAGGGCTCAAACTCGATACTCCGGAAAAAGCACGAACACGCCGGTGGGAGCGATGTTTTAAAGGGGATGGTCTGTCATGGGGGGGGGGGGGTGACCATATATATATATATGTGTGCATATATATATATATACATATTTATTTATTGATATATGAGTATATACAGTTACATATACATACATACGTACATACATACATACATACACATACACAGACACAGACACACACATACACGTACACATACACAGACGCATACACGTACGTGTACACATATACATACACATACGGATACACATACACGTACACATAAACGTACACATACACATGCACAAAAACATACACATACATATACGAATACCGATATATCTATATATATATATATGTAGACATGTGTGTATGTATATATATATATATGTAGTTATGTACATATATAGAGATATATATATATATATATACACAACCTATGTGTACACATCTTCACATGTCCACATAGACACATATGCGCACATGCACATATATGCATATACAGGTACAAAAACCCCTTGCTTCAGGCATCATGCACGCAAGCCGGCATCGACTGTTGTTTATCTGGGAAGGGAGGCCGGGCATAAGAAAAAAAATAACTGCGATGCTTTAATAAGGCAAGTACACGTATGATTACATAGGACCCAGCAAGGGACTAACAAACACCAAGAAGCTTCTTGGCCGAGTCCCATGCTGCTTCAAGCACGCCGCGAGAAGGGTCAGAGAGCTTGTGTTTCCGAACGCCTGTGGATGCGAATAAGTGGAGAATGCCCACCTTCGAAAAGCAGCGAAAAGTCGAAAAGTGCAGCAAAACGCGAAAAGTCGAAAAGTCGAAGAGTCGAACACACACCACACCAGAAGTTGAAAAAGCTACAACTGGCACAGCTTTGGTCAGCAGAGCAAAGGCAGATCTAGGACCATGTTAAGATTTTTGGCTACTGGAGGAAGTGTTCTGGCCTTGCGGCCTGTTCAATTTGAAACCGTGTCAAATCAAAACAGCGGAAAAGATGTCCCACTTCACTACGTGTGCGAGGTGTGCATGGCACAGGGAAGTCGATGTGGAAGGTTCTACAAAAACACAAACCTTGCATATGCTATGTGTGTAAACAACAACAGCAGAGATATGGTTACACGTACATGCATATGTATACACCTGAATACATAAATGCATATGAAGGTATGTATATGTATGTCTGCATGTATATATATATATATATACACACACACTTGTGCATATACACATTTACACCACTGTTAAACCCTAAACCCCAAGCCAAGGGAACACATTAACGCTTGTAGCAACATTTATAAACACTTCAAAGACAACCAGCGTTAAACCCGAGTAGGACCGAGTAGGACCAACAGAAAAATCTAATTACCGAAATTTTCGAATCCTCGCAGCAAACGCCACCCTAAACCCTAAACCCTAAAACCTCTCGGATTCCCGGATAGAATCTCGAACCCAAGAAGGAATCTTTTAAGGAAAAGGCCAACCACGAGATCTTAGTAGAGGTCGTAAGTTAAGGGTTTAGGGGATGTTCAGGGTTTCAGGGTTTGGGGTTCTTTTGTTTGTTTGACGCCTCTTTTCCTCCTGCCACATGTGTTAGTCAGAATGTCTCATCAGACAGAGGCAACAAGCCTGGAACGAGCATCTGTGAGGGGATTCACCACCTACACCACATCCGCAAATACCCCATACTGATGGACACAGTCCCGATGCTTGGCTCCAACAGCTCAGAAAGGAGTAGAGGTGGAGTTTGCACGAGCCCAGCACTCACCTGTCACAACATCTCTTTGCAAATAGGGTTTGGGGTTGGAGGATTTGGGGTTTGGGTTTTAAGGGGCATGCTTTCTATTTTGTTCATCCCTGCAGGATCTCTGCTATGATTCATGCCTTGACAGCTTCCAGCCGTAAACCCTAAACTCTCAACTTCAGCCCAGAGAACACATCAACGCCTGCAGCGACATTTATAAACACTTCAAAGACAACTAGGGTTAAACCCGAGTAGAACCAACAGAATGATCTAATTCATTAACTAGATGTTCAAATCCTCGCAGAAACCACTATTTGGGTGGCCTTATGCAGCGATGTGAAAATGCTTCGGGGCATGATAGTGCGAGAAGCTTTGAGGAATACCATCAGGAAGCGCTCCGTCCCCATCGTTGAAGCCAAAGAGCTACACAAAATCGCTGATACGAACAAACCCCATAAGCACTTTTCAAAACCCAAGCTCTTTAAAAAAATTGGCTGAAGCCGATAACGCCCTATAAACCGCCAAACGCTGAAGCTGCTGTTTTGCTCAGTGCTGCGCCCGGCTTAACGACTTCGTAGATGGCTGATAAAACCGGTGAAAACTAAGTGCAGGCGTGGTTGATCTAAGGCGCTACAGTGACACTGTGACTGCCACACAGCAAGCCTGACTCAACATGAGCCCTTTGACAGTCAATGCCCCAAAACCCGGGATCGGCTGTTTTGCTTAGTGGTGCGTCTGGCTTAGGCAGACAAATCCGCCGTCGGTCACAGGTAGGCCCGAACGAGCTACAACCACGACGCTTGAAACTATGACTGACTCTAAGAATGATCGTTCGACTATCGAGTCAGCTAGTGCCCACTCAAAACTTGCACGAGCAAAACATTGAAAAGGCAAGAAAATCAAGGAAAAGTGGAAAAGCCCGAAACGAACAGCCGAAACTGAAAGGCGAAAAACACGTAGTCCCAAAAGTGCAAGAAAAGTCGAAAAGTCGCAAAGCCTAACAGCCCAAAAGTCGAAAAAGTGCAAGAAAATCTGAAAAGCCAAAAAGCCGAAAAGCCCAAAAAATGCAAGAAAAACCCGAAAAGTCTGAAAACACGTACTCCCAAAAGTTGCAAGAAAAGTTGAAAAGTCACAAAGCCTAACAGTCCAAACAAAAGTCGGACAAGTGCAAGAAAATCCGAAAAGCCAAAAAGACGAGAAACCCCGAAAGTCCGAAAAGTGCAGGAAAAACCCGAAAGTCGAAAAGCAGAAAGGCCCAAAAAGTCCGAAGAGTGCAAGAAAACCCGGAAAGTCGAAAAGTCGGAAACGCCGAAAACCACAAAAAGTCCGAAGGGTGAAATCGAAAATCACAAAAGTCCGAAAAGTCGAGAAGTCCAACACTTTTCGACGTTTTGACTTTCCGAATTTCGCTTCGGCTCTCCGCTTATGGAAACCAACGACTGCTTGCGTACTTAGGGGGTTCAGGGCTGAGGCTTTTACATAGAAGGTTTACCTCGGCATCGCTCGCTTTGCTGGGTTGAGGGTTCCAATCTCGGGGCTACTTGCAGCAGAAGTCGAGTAGAGCAAACATTGCAGAAAGAGATGGAATCAGCATGTCGGTGCTTCGCATCAAGTTATTAGGTGATTTCAAACTCATGATTTGTGCCAAGCTATTGGGGAGTTTTTAATTTCCAGGCTCCTGTCTTGCGACGCTGTTGGGGAATTGCGGGGTTTTGTTTTGCATCAAGCTCTTGGGGAATTTCGATATGCAGGGCCCGGATTTGCATCAAGGTATTAGGGGATGACATTTTTCATATTGGGGAATCGCAACTCGGGGATCTGTTTTGCATCAAGCTACTAGGGAATTTCAATTTGCAGGGTCTTGCTTTGACGAGCTATTGGGGGCTACACTTTCGAGGTATTTGTTTACCGCAAACTCTTGGGAAATTGCAATCGGGGTTTTGCCTTGCATCAAGCTGCGGGTGACTTCTTATTCGCAGGGTTTCGATTTGCGCTGTTCGAGGATCACAGCCCCGAGGCTTTTGTCTTGCATCATGCTTTTGGGTAACTTCGATTTGCAGGGTTTTGCTTTGCGCCTAGCTTTCGAGGAATTACAAGGTTCGTTCGTTCTTTCTTTCTTTCTTGCTTTGTTTCGTTCTTTCGGTCGTTCTTTCCTTCGTTCTTTCTTTCCATCCTCCTTTCTAGGTTTTGCTTGGAACAAGTTTGTTTGATCCCAGGGACAGGCGTCTGTGATTTGTGTTGTTTCGTGCTTACAACATAGGAATAATTAGTTTTTGGGATCCCTTAAAGAAGTCTTGTTGATCCTTCAAACAGTTTCGTTTAACCCCCTATCCCATTTCACCGAGCGACTCGGAGGTGATGCAGCTGCACGGAAAGCCTGCATCGGGACAAGATGACACGAGGCCCGGCCTTCGACTAAGCTCGCCTCTGTAAGTCCAGGATGCGGGCGCTTGCTGGAAATCGCTGCCTGATGGCGAGATGCGAGTGCAAGTCAGCCGTTGCTTCAGGGCTGGGCCTGCACGGCATGTCTAACCACATCCAAGGGTATAGTCGCGACCTGGCATACCGATGCCCACTGTCAGAGCTGCATTAAGCTTCATACGAGACGACTTCGTCAGGGAAAGAGCCCCGAGGAGTTAGTTACAGCGCCAGAGTCTAAACCACTCAGGTTGACTTCTGCCACCTGCGGAACAAGCCGTTCACAAAAAGCGAGCTGGAATCAGCATCGCTTTCGTCAGGATCCGTGCGGGCACTTCCCGAAGCTTCGAAGTGGTGGGACATGACTTTGAGAAGCGTAGGGCATTCTGCAAGGGCCTGAGCTCCTGTTGACCTGTAGAACCGCAAGTGCGCTTCGTTTTTCTCCGCTTGAGCCTATACGAACTTTTCTACCGACACTCGTTCGGGTTGAATTTTGAACTTATGGTCCAAATCAAACCGAGGCTGTGAGAGTTCACACAGTCCATGTCAGCTGGTTCAAAGTTGGGTTTGGTCACACCGGAACAGGTGTGAGGGCAGCGCGCATCGACAGAAAGAATTGGCGAAGCTGAGAACAAACTGCAAGCTGCGGCCTAGACGACGCTAGGCTTGGCTCCTGAGGCCTTATGTTCAATTTGTTGGCGCCCTGATTTCCAAACGCATGACAAGGAAGCGTTGGTGAAATCCTTAGTCGTCGAATCGGTGAAGATAGCGTAGCTTGAGCGACGGAATTCGAAGCGAGATGCGGGCTTTGCACTCTGCATGGTCCATTTGCTGGAGACCGTTTCATACCGCTTCGAAGGTGTCCCGCATCGCAAGTCAGCCAATGGCAACTGCGTTTTGTAACAGGCGTTTAGTTTCGTTAGCCTCATGCCATTGACTATGTGCGTGTGGGGGGGGCGGTGGGCTAGAGCGTGACGCAAAATCCATCCTTGTCAACCTTTGGTCGTAAGACGGGGGTGTTCGGCGTGTTCGGGGTCTCTGTCTGAAAGCTGTCCCACAGACGGCCAGGAGAGAAAATGGATCTGCAAAGAAAGCAAAGCAGGGCTCAGTCTCAGCCGTTCGAGACCAGCTCTGTCGGCTTCAAGCTTTGGCGGCCTCGAACCCGGAAAGAGATTCGGCATGTAGATCACTTTCAGAAGGTGGACAACAACACAACGATCGGCGCAAAGCTTCACAAACGTCCGTTCCCCAAAACGGCATCCACAAGTGTATGCAGAGTGTCTCCGCTTCCCGCCTAGTTCCCCCACTTCCCTGCCTGTGTTTCAGTATGACGAATCTGCTGCTGCTTGTTTGCTTCACAGCACTTGAGTACCTGATCCAATCGCATTCCAGTCTTCGCGGGACTCATCATGGCTTGAAGTACTACATGGCAGTGACCATCCGCGAGGCTCGCCGCGAGGATGTGCAATTTCCCACTGCTGGTGTTCTGTGGCGTCGCTCCGGGAAGCTACCGGTCATAACTTCCACGAAGGACCATCCTCACCCCCACCTCCCAAAACAAAAAAGGAAGACATGGGGCGATGCTAAGGCCCCGCATTTCACCCAGCCACAACACTGCCATACGAAAGACTACCCGAAGGTTTTTAAGCGCTTCCTGACCTCCAGCCCATGTCGAATAAACCCAAGGTAGGCACTCCATTTCGAACGACAGACATGGGACAACCGATGAAGCAACTCCTGCAGACAAGCTGAAGCACTGCAACGTTCTTTTGGTTGGCCCTTTGTAGCCAGTCTTAGTCTTGCCCGCTTCATCTAATCCATTGGCCACCTGGTCGAATTAAGCTCTTGATGTCAACCTGTTGATAGAAGGGCTCTGCTAGCATTCGACATTTCTGCCCATCCCGTGCTGAGCGGCCGTCCAGCACTAAGGTCACATGCATAAATCTATATTCTATATCAAGTCAAATGCTCTGCCTGTTCGGCGAGCTGGTGCGACAGCGTTGAAATAGTTGAATTGATATGGGACTGATAGATCAACGGTAGAACAGCTGCAGTCTCCACGAGTGCCGATCGCGAGTGCACCTCGGCGCAAGGCTGAAACGGCTCCGGAAGATGACAGCTTGCAGATGCTTGCAAATGCTTGCAAGACCGCAACTTGGTCGCAACACTTCTCGCAGCCTAAGGCGCGAGGTCGGTCATGTGACCCATATCAAGCGCAGCCGCAGCCGGCAAAGAAAATGCCAGGATGGTACCAATTACCTGACGGTTACATGGTCTTGCTGCGCCTCGACGGGCTCTCGGCTTCCGGGGGACAAGCCTCACCGTAGTAGGATGTCAGCGCCACCCAGTATCGCCGGTTCTTTCCTTGCACATGCCACATACATGTTGCAGGCTCTTCGGAACTGCATGCTCAATTAAGGCAGCAAAGTCACGTAAGGCGAGATAGACCTGCACCTAAATTCGGAAGTGCTTTTGCAATGGGCTGAATGAGTTCAAAGGCATGCCACGCAGAACGCATGAATGAAACATTGGCAAGAGACTCCGATGAAGATCAAGCCGGCAATCCAGGCTTCAACGAGCAAGCACACGCGCATCCGCTGATACTTTGTGAGCGGGCCATGTACTGGAGTGGCCTCGTCAGTGAAGAAATACTGGAAGGCATTCTCTCCAAAGCCAAGTTGGATGGTCTCCATGATCATCAAGAACAGCATGGCAAAAGGAGCAGAGACATTGTGCACTGCGGTTAGAACTACTTCATAGCCGGCCACATCGGAAAGGCTGGGCACCATGGCAGCGAGAACAAATCCAACTTGGGGCACCAGAGCCCAGGCAATGCGTAAGCGACGTTCGAGCGCGCGCTCCAGAACGATCGAGTGGATGGGGTTATTCATGTCAACATAGGGGGCCCAACTACGATAGAGCCAGAAGGTGTACATCGATATCACACTCAAGACCGAGGCGAGCCCTAAAGCTGTGCTCCATAAGCGACCTTGCGGCTGCGTCATGTCTTGTGTCATGTTGGACAACGTTGCTTTCTGTAGAAAGTCTCTCGGAACACTCTGCGCATCGGGCTCCAGGGTCGCAATCACCGTGGCAGTAAGGGTGCCGGACAAGACCAAACCAAAAGCAATGTCAACCAGAACCGAGGACTGCACCACCTGCTGCTTCGAAAAGCCGATAAGCAATGCCAGGGAGGTGTCTGCCACAGGGTCGGTTCGCTTCGAAAAGGGTTTCGATAGTCTGTCCGATATCCAGTCGACTGTTCCCTGTGGCATACTGCTGTCGCGCAGGGCCACGACCAAAGGGCCCAGAATCACTGCAAGGGCAATGATGAAAAGCCAGCAGACTGGATGTTTGCGACATCTCCTGCAGTTCCGCAGAACAGTTTTGATGCACATTAAATTATCGTGACCCCCGCCACGTTACTTGCACTCGCAATACCTCGAACCTGCCATCCAATTCCCGACTCGCAAGTATTGCACGAGCTGTGCGGCGAGGTGCTTGTCCGTGTCGGACCAGACGAAAACTTCATCATCGGTGTCCGAATCCTGCCAGCTAAAACGCCCTCCACTCCGCACTGGTGGGCTTGAAAACATATGCTTCTTGAAGCTATTTCGAGCCTCTTCCCCATCTTCAACCAATTTGTCCTCACTTCTTGTTGGAGCAAGGTACAAGCTTCCGCTGCCACTCATCTGGCCTGAGAGCAATGAGAGCAATGACATGCAAAAAGCAAACAAGCGAATAGCGCAGCAGCGCAGCAGCGCTGCTGTGTTCACGGGCCCTGGCGGGGGTCAACTTCTCCGCGCTGGGAAATGGGCAATACATCTGCTAGCAACCGCTGCTGGCAGAACTGCCGCTGCTTGAACACGCGGCAGAAAGGTGCGATGGAATCGAATCACTCCGCAGCAAAAGCCATAAAACTGTCCAGCATGAAACAGCAATGCAAACAGACCGGCGGAACGCAGAGAGACGCGGCACCAATCGTTCCAGCCCGCAAAAGGTCCTGCACAAGGAAAATTTGAAATGCTCATGACTCGACTCTCGGAATGACGGCCGCTCAGTCTCTGACTGGAAACTCAGCTGCCTCCATGAATGAGAGAGAGCGAGACAGGGAGAGAGAGAGAGAGAGAGAAGAGGAACAGTCGGCTCAGACTTAGAGCCAAAAGAAATCCTGCAAGGCATGGGCGGCATAAACAAACTGAAGCTTCGCCAGTGATTCACGAAGAACAGTACCAGGCTCAACACCTTCATGCTTTTTATACCTGTGCAGGTGCAGAGTCACTCGCTTCTCACTGCTGCCGCTTCTTTCTCAGCCTGCCAAAGCTTCGCTTACATATGCACTTCAAAACGGCGAACAGTCTCCATGCAGCAACTTGCAGCGGCCACTCCCTTTTTGCATGGCTTCCGAACGAAGCAGGCACCCTGCTTGTAGAGACTCCTGCAAACGTCAGGCCAATGTCTTGGATCACGCGGTCCAACCTTGAGCTGCGTTTCGACTCACAGCTCGAACCCATCCTTTGCAGACGAATTGCCATAAGAGAGGCCAACACCCTCGTTGCAGGATTGTCGGCCTGAGCCGGGCTTGACTAGTTGACTGGCCATGTCTCTGCAAAGCAGCATGCTTTGCTAGTTGCTTTGCCCGACCTCTGTACAAATGGCAGCGGCAGCGGCGGCGCATCGGTAGCGGTAGCGGTAGCGCTCGTAGAAGCTGTAGGAGTAGAAGTAGAGGTAGGAGTCGGAGTCGAATTAGAAGTCGTGCTCGTCGCTGTAGTCGAGTAGTAGCAGTAGTAGTAGTAGTAGTAGTAGCAGTAGTAGTAGTCACAACAGAAACAGGATGTTACGCTTTCTGTCACGAGGCTCCTGTGGCTCCCTCTGCTGAGCTGGCTTGTTCGGGGCACAGTTCTGTAACAAGTTTTAGCAACTTCTGCAACAACTCACCACATGCACATGTTCGGAAGCTCGCTCTGCAAACAGGACATCGATGACGCTTGCAGGGGCCGGAGCCTGATATGGACCTGTACGATGCAGCACGTGACCTTCGAACAGGAGGCACTCGCCCCGTTGGTATCCTAAGCACATGGCAACACGCTGGCCCATGACAAAGGACTCTCTAACTTCATCAGAAGTGGATCCAACCAAGTTTCTGTGCTCAACCACAGAGAAATCCGCGGAGGCCCAGTGCTCGGGGCATTCGTTGGGATTGTGCTCGGCTGCCTCTCGTGGCTGCAGCTTCCAAGCTTGACGTGTCGATTAGTGCCTTTGCTTCGTTCCATGACATGGCCTCTTTGGCAACCAGCGCGGCCACTGCAGCTATGGAAGGTGCCACTGAGTCGGCCCGCGGTAGCGCGTGCTCCTTCAGGCACAGCTGTGTCCCACCCAACACTCGCCAATCTTCGTCTTCCTGGGTGCAGCATGACATCGCACAGACAGAACTTTCTGGCGCAGGTGAAAGCCATGAATCTAGAGTCCTTGATTTTCGTATTGCATTTATTGTATCATTCACGTCTAGCTGCTCGAGGCCACAGAGGAACCAACATTGTCCAGGACAAACCATCTGGAATGCCATACCAGTCCACGTGCCACATTGAGGCATCCTCATGCACGCTGCAAGGAATGACGGTCAAAGAGGCTGTGTAAAGCCTCGGATCATATGGAAAGAGATGAGAGGCAAAGCACCAAATGTGTGTCATATGACTCAAACAGCTACAGTGGGACAGTAGCAGCTAGGTCACATCAACTGATCCCGCAGTTTGCCCGGAAGCTTAGTGAGCAGAGCGCAGGCTGCATCATCGAATGCCTTGGCTTCCATTTCGTTTTCGTCACAACATGCCTGGACTGAATGTGTTGAAGTAGCTGCGACCGTCTCCTCGTTATCTGCCCACAGCCAGGTCTGTCCAGGAACAACTCCAGAAATCTCCGACACGAAGGTACCTGCATGAATGCGAGCGCCAGAACTGGCCGGCTTCGAGCATCTAAAGCAAACGTTAACAGATGGCTGATCTCATCGGTGCCCCAATCTCCAACCCCGTATACTATGCGCCGTATACAGTCACCTGTAGACTACTGTCGGGCCGCGTGAATACAAGCCGTCGGTCATGTGTTGCGAGATGGTGCGAGGTTTGCTAGACTCTTTCATAGACAGCCATGCTGCAGACAACTCAACGCAAACCTTCACCGTAATGAACAGTTCGTCCGAAAGGCAACATCCAGCCGTCTTCAACGAATGCATGCCATGCTGAGGGCATGCCCGATAAATATCCTCCTCATGATTCTCCTGATCCGAAGTATGGCCAAGTAGTTGCAGGACGTCCAGGAGCGGTGCCTAAGCTGTCGCACGTCAACAGGTCTTGGTCTTGGTGTGTGGTATGCACTAGCTGAAGCTGAATGCTGCAAGCAGCAATCGTCTGCTCGTCGAGCACTGCCAGAGCAGCTGACAAGCTTTCACTCGCTTCCCTTCGGCAGCACGGGCATGTCTTCAACTCGATTTGTCGAGATTTGTCGAGGCTGCCTCGTCACTCGACTTGGAGCTCGGCAAGGAGTTCCTCAAGATGCCACCGCAAAGTTCGCTTCACAAGACAGCTGCAAACTGCCTTACTGTAGGAATTCTCGCAAGCACAGTCTTGTGCAGGGATCGTGATCTGCTACGCGGAGGGCACGACAGCGGCAGCGCCATTGCCCGGGCTAGGCATGGAAGTTGAAGAACAACATGCGGGGAGGGGGGGGGAACTGATCCCATTATGAAGCTAAACGCACGCACGCACACACGCAAGCCGCAAGCACGTACGCAATTGCACACGACATAGCAACATACCTACATAGCTACATACATATATACTTGCATACATGCATAGCTACAGACGTACACGCATGTACATGTGTATGTACCTGTGAATGTGGCTAGTGTCTAAATGTTATATGTATATATATATATATATACATACATACATACATACATATACATATACATATATATATACATATCATATACATATACACACACCCCTGCATACACGTATGCGCTTTCACTTAAGCATTTACTTACCTGTCACTGATTACTTATCAGTGACTATTTATGTCTAGTGACTGCCGGCTTTCCTCTAACTTCGAGAAATAAAGCCCTTCGGCCACGCCCTTGCATCGAGGGTGCGAGTACTAGGTAAACAGAAGGTGCGCAGCTCGTCGCCTTGACGTTCATGCTTTGTCCGTCTGTAGCATAGTGGGATCTGCACAGGGACAGCAGGTGGAGCACAGCAGCTCAGCACAGAAAAAACCGAGCCGAGGGTGGCACAGTATGCTGAGCACGGAGCTGCCAGCCATGGTCCACAGTGTGGAACTCGGTTGCCACGATTCCACTTTTTCTGAGCCATTTCCGAGCCCTTCCACGATTAGGCTCGCAACTCTCTATCCCAGCGATTGACGATGCTCAGCACCGCCCCTGCAATTTCTCCATTTGCTGAGTAGAGTTTGGAATAGTGCACCTTGACATGCCACTCCCAACACAGCATAGCCCCACCCATCATGCCTGAAAAGAGCCCGGAAATAGCCCCGTTGTACGGATAAGGAAAGCCGTCTCTTGTCAGGACCTCGAGCCAGATGGAGCCAGACATGCATGCTAAGCATTGCTAAGCTGTGCTGAACTGATAATCCCACGAGAAAGGACAGCTCCAAACGTCCCTGCATTGTAAGGTGGTCGCACATGACGAAAACGAGGTCAGGAGGCACCTCACGTGCAATGGTTCAGAAAGGGAGATGCAAGAGAGAGGGATGTGCTGATCAGACAACTGACATTCCAAACCTACCGCCGTCTGCAGTTTGCACTGTCGCCCTATCCATGCCAAGAGGCCAGACGCCGGCGAGCGCCGCGGGCCGAACAGTGCCTTTGAGATGTGCCAGGAGGCCGACACCCTGCGACATTGCTTTGACAGGAAGATGAACTCCGGCAAACCCTCTCCACAGGTTTTGCACCGTCTCCGGCCCGAAGACCAAGCCAAAGATGCCTCCTGCAGAAGGGAGAAACGTGTAACAGGGAAGTCATCCCGAAGTTTGAGCACAGCCAAAGCCTTTCCAGACAATGGGATTGCAAGCCAAACCCCAAAAGTCAGCCACAGGGGCTTCTCATCACTCTATTTTGTGGTTTGACGGTCAACGATGGGAGTCCTGGAGCATGCATCAGCCCTAAGCAGATCAAACCTCAGCCTGGATGCTTTTTCCAGAAATGTGCGATCTGCCGGGCGCTTGAGGCACGTCCACCCGGCTATGCGAAAGACGCATGGGTCGCAGGAAAGAAGCTTGACAGTGTGCTGTTGGTGCGACGACGTTGCTATTGATGCAGGTCTCTGCGACGGCCACAACAAAGAGGCGGACACGTGCAAAAAAACAAGCTGAAGAACGGAAACAGGTCCGCAGCCAGCAAAGTCGATGAACCCTGGGTCTGAGATTGACTATGGTGAGATTCGTTGCAGTAGCGTTGACAGGACGGCGCTAGCTTTTTGCTCGGACAATCTTGGACATCATTTCCTTCCTCTGTTGAAGAGCACGATTCGACAGGAGCGGCTTCTACAAGATTCAAGAGGATGGTGCCATGCATCAGTAACAGTTTCTCACTGTCCCACTTTGCCGGCAACAGCTGCGCAAAATTCGCATCGGCCTGGAATTTAGGGGTCAGAGGCTTCCTCTTTCCCTTCCGGGGACCTCTTAATCCCCTCCCTAACCCGCCCCCGCTGGGCGTTTTTCCCCCGGCGCCACAAAAATTAAAATTTTGGCTTCCAAGCTCCACGACCAGAGATTCTGACCGCATGCCCGAACAGAAACTGTGCGCTGCAAACCTGCTAGGGCCCTGATGTTGTTCGCTTGCGAGCGGGCGAGGCAGACGATGCGAAGCGGTTGCACTTGATGTGACGGTCAAGCATGAGCCGTGCCTGCCACTGTTCCACGGTAGAATGATTCCACGCTATTGCTGACCTGGGCTTCTCCGAACATTCATCGAAGCATACAATCTCGTCCCTGAACATCCGGGCCACACACACATGAAACATCTGGTGGAGGCTTCGTCCACATGGCAAAGAGAGGAACTCTCTCGAGCGGAGCCCTTCCTGTGACCGGCTGAGAGCCCGTATACAGCAATCTGCAAGCTATGCTCTTCTTCGTTCCGGAAATGATGCTGTTTGAGCGAAGACGATTCTTTTGCGTCGCAAGCAAGACTTGCATCCGCGAGTTCAATTGCCTGTTCGGGAAATGTCTACGTAAGAAGTACTCTGCTTGAGCATACGGCGGTTTCCAACAACTGCATGCCTAACTCCCGAAATGTTACATCAACGCACAGCAGCAAACTGGGAGTTGGAGCACCCGATCATGAGACCGCTCCACCCCCTTTACTGAAGACTCTGTTGTGTGCGGCCACAACTGACGAAGTGCTGGCACAAGCACATATTCACACAGCACAGATGTTCCCACGCCGGTTTGTCGGCATTGGCGACTCCATCCGGGCAACGGCTTCCAAAAAGGCCACTTGCAAAGTCTCTGTTTTCTCCCGCAGAGGCCAGTCAGCCGTACATCTTGCATGGACCTGCCTGGGAGGCTTAAACAAATTCAAGTGTAACGGCCTGATGACTCTGCAACCAAGGCCGCTCAAACACGCAACTTCTTACAAGCAACAACTCTGTGGAAGACTTGCAGTTGGGACCAGGCTTATACTGACAGTCCCTTTCTAACACTTATCAACTCAATACTGCCAGACCCACCGCCTGTTGAATACTTCACCGTCTAAACTAGATCAGCCTGTGGTGTCATTGCATCAGATCTACCTTACAGTCATAGACAGGACTTGCATGTTGGCGAGCTACACCAACTTAATTGCATGCAAAGACACGAATTAGCACTTGCTCTACGTTTTGAGTCCAACCTTGACTAGCAGCGGAAGCATCAACCATCCTGACACTTCTTGACACTAAATATGCATCAGCAGCCGCAACGAGCAGCGCACATAAAACGTGCCTGCAGCTGGCACTCCTGCGTCAGATTCCTGAGGCAAGCCTCCGGGGCTGTCAAAGGAACATCGCTCACTGCAACTCTCGAAATCTGCAGGGTCCAAGGGTAGCAATCGCATTCGGATTCGGAGTTCACATTCGAGCCTTGGGTAAGGCGCGTTCAAAAGTTTCTGGACGCAGAAGGCTTGCGAAGCCAAAAACAGCAAGGCGTCTCCCGGGGACCTTCAGTGCTCGCAGCCTCAATGCAGAACTCAACCCAGTCTAGCGTCTAGCGTAGCTTGAGTCGGCACACACAGCCTTCGAAGTGCGGCCACCTCAACATTTTCCGTATTGAAATGTGCTGACGCTCAACAGTGGGTGGCGGTGCACCGAGGACAAAGGGAGCCTTGCGAGGTGGCTTCTGCGGCACCTCTACAGCCCTGGCCTCAATTGAGATGGGTGGGAAAGCTGTGCCGCGAAGAGCAGGCAGGCAGGTGTTCGTTTAAGGTGAAACTGAGTCTGCTCCACCGTACGATACCAACGCATGCAGGACTGACAAATCGGCTAAATGGCGAAATGCCGGGATGGGCTATGAAGCTGATGGCTCTTGGCCACATGCGCGGTGCAGGTGTCTACGAAACATAAAACCGCCCGTAGCGCATTGGAAAGGGAACAAAGCCGGAGAGGGACCTTCAACCGGGGCTGCGGCAGCTGAGAGCCAGATCCACAAGTCCGCAAAGAAGGCCTTTTCAGCAGCCTTGATCTGCCGCAGCCACCAATCAACGTGCTCAGCAGTGGCCTCAAGTAGAGCAGCAACCGGAAAACCTACGGCCAACAGTGTCTGAACAGAAAGCACGAAAATTGAGATATATCGAGTGTCCCCAGCCAGCTGCCCGAACCGCAGGACGTCGGGTCTTCCGCAGTGCGCTTGCAGAGGCATCACCACAAGGCCACAGAGTAGCGCTCCCACAGCCGGGAGTGGAACGCAGATCGCAAGACCAAAGCTGCACAGGATGCACAAACTTGGAAATAATCAGAGCTTCGACACGCGGCTGGTGTGAATTTAGGCGAGCCAAACAACTGACGGGAAAGATTATGCAAGGCCGGCAGCCCCTTGCAGACCTGTGCTGCAAGGGACTCATTGGAGACTATAATCTCACCCAGATGATTCAAGAATTGGCTCCCCACCGACCAAGTCCTTGACCCAGACAAAGTGTCCCCCGTCGACGTCAGTCTGGATGAGTGGAAACAGATGCGGCTCAGCACCGACTTTGATAATCATGCCAATGGCACGCTCATGGGCTACTACAACGGCCGTGCCAGCCACCGGATGCAACAGCTCCTGCGGTCCGTCTGGGGCCAACCAAAGTCGTCCACCCAACAGGGAAAGTCCACCTTGGCAGGACCAGACTTGTCCGCCCAATGCGCACGTCCTGTAAGGTTTGGTCATTCGCTTTGCTGGAAAGAGCGGAGGTAACGGCATGCAGGTAAGCAGACAAAGCCACTCCAAACAAACAGTCCGCCAGAGGGTCCAGAGCGGCACAGGGCCGCTTTGCTTAGAGGTCCGGCTTGAGGTTAGTAGTGTTGCGGTGCGGGTTCGCTTTTACCGCGTTGTTGACAGTCTTGGGTCTTTTACTGCGCTGTCGCGAAGACAGAGCACAGCAGGAACCGACGAATGAAAATCATGCTTGCCGCAAGAATCACCCGCACAGTGACCTTCCAGGACAGTACCAATCGGAAGTGTTTGAGTTTAAGTTTGTGCGACCGTTTCAGGACGGCAAATTGTGGGACAGATCGTGTCGCTGACACTGGCTGGAATCCTCGTATACAATTTGCGATACCCAGTAGATCCCAGTAGCAGAGCGGTCACCCGGCACTAATTGTTGGCAATGACCTGTCTTGTGTCACGCTGCACCTTTCAAAACCTGCGCCGTGCAGAACTCAAGCACGGAGCCTGCCTTCGAGCGCCCTGAACTCCTCACTTCGAATCAGAGACTCTCGAAAACCCGAGGACCCCGAGCTGAGCCTGTCTTCAGTTCGAGATGCCTCGCAAAGAGAGCGCAGGTCGCAGGCAGGACGCAGCATGTCACAGCCGCGCCTCCCTCCAGCGAGAAGCACTCCCGAAGTTCGCAGAAGGCTGCGGCCTGCGGGGCGGCGCTGCTGAGAAGGGCCGGTATGAGTTCGCCGAGGTGGCGGCGCTTGGAGTCGCCAGTACGGGCTTCCCCGTAACTCCTACGAGAGCTAGAGTCGCCAAGCAAAGCCTTTGCGGCCCCCGGGCCTGTGTCTTGCTCCGATCTCTTGGAGATAAGGAGCCGCTTCGGAGCCTTCCTGAATGCGCGACCACTTTGAGAAATCTTCTGGCACATGGCATGTCAAGCTCGAAGGATTCCTGCATCGGGAGGCGAGTTCAGAGACAAAGCGGCCTCAAGACATATCTTCGAGTCATGTGCATCTCGGCTGCATCTGATCCGACTAGGGATACTGCAGCCTTTCGGGAGTCTGCGCCTCCCGACTAGCTCAGCAGAACAGCCGGGACAGGATGCAACGCTTGCAAATCTGCAGCGACAATCTCGTCTAACCCATCTCTGATTCGCCTCCAGCTCGGTGCAGGTCTGCCAACTGCGCGGATCGCCTCAACTCGCTTCTACCCGAAGTGGTTTGGTCCACCTCCTGGAGTCCACAACCCCGGTACAAGCTACTGACAGCAAGCATCCACATGCATCCGAAACCGTCCTGCACTGACCTCGTTGGAACTGTGGGTTGCCGGGCTTGTGGAGAAGGCCTGCATCTGATGGATTCGCCCTGCCCTGCATGTACATAAGCACAAGGAATGCCTTCTCCCTGAACGCGATCGAACTTCGCTAAAGGTCGGAGTGGCCTGCAAGACTGCGAAAAACTCATATCACTGACGAGTGGAGGCTGGAACCCAAGTTGCGAGCTTGCAGAGGATCCTGGTCGCGCTGCCTGTTCAATCCCTGAACTGCTGAACTGCTGGCTGGAAAACTCTAGTCTCAGAACCCAGTGAGCACAGCTCCTGAGCATCCTCTCGTGACGACGGACCAAGTCGTCCATTCCCTGTCAGCCGACTTCTGAGTGCTCTCACCTTGCACTCCGTCCCCGGCCATCCCCAGCCTTGGCGAGGTGCTTGTGCTTCGCCAGCTCGCGGGTCAGCTCCTTGGTGTCTGCCAGCATCGCGTCCATGCGTCGCAGGCCGGTCTGGCAGCGGCGCTCACTTTCCTCGGAGCAGCAGAGTAGGCGGAGCAGAGCGAAGCCCTTACTTCGCCTTAGCGATGCCAAGCTTGCGTCGGACAGGGCAGCGAGCGCAGACTCTTCCGCGGCTTTTGCTGCTTGAGCCTGACATGGCATGACATGGCGACAGAGCGACAGGGCGAGGGATTGCTCTGAAGCTCCCTTCACTCTGTCGGCCTGTGCAAATGCTGCATTCATCTCTGCTTCCAAGGACACCTCCGGGAGAGCACGGCGCAGTGGTGCAGGATACAATGTGCTGGATTGACGTCATTCTTGCAGCCCAGCTGCCGTCGTCTTCTCAAGCTCCATCGAAGCTTGCCTTAAAGTGATGATCTCCGATAAAGTGCAATAAAAACTTGGCAAGATTGGGCCTGTTTGCCAGCGGTGTCGGCCGTGCCTGGCTCTTGCTTTAAACTTCTCATTCTACGAGTGTAAGATTCAATGCCTTCTTGGATTTTAGAAACTAGGCAATACACCCAGAGGCTCGAAGCTGCATCGCGAGTGTCCCACCTTGGCATGCGGGGGGCAAGTTGGTTGGCACAGGGACGGTATGCAGACCGGGGACAGAACTCCAGATCCGCCACTCGCTGCCTGGCGCGTGGGACAACACCGGACCGACATTCTCGGCCGATGGGCCGATGTCGATGGCCTCGCAACTGCAGCATCCTCCAGAGCCCTGTCCAGTTGAAACCTTGGCCCCCTTGGAACTGCCACACGCCGAAGCTTCCAGAGTCCGAGCTTGCAGCTGGAGGTCCTGACCTGAAAGCTCTGAAAGCACTGAGGCAGAGAATGCAGGGCTCCCACTGTCGCTTTGAAGCTCCAAAGCCAAACTCGCTCTGCGCTGAGCTCTGAGCATCGCTCTCGGTCTGCCCTGGCCTCAGAACGCAGGAAAAACCCCAGAGAGACTGCTGCCACGGATCTGGATCTCCTCTCATCCTCTCTCAGGCTACGTGGCGAGTGTGTGCATACACAGTGCTCTGCTTTCATAACTGAACTGTCACCCCTTCTGCTCCCACGCCGATACATGGAAAACACATGCCCGCTTGCAGCACTATAGCAGTTAGTTTCGAGCGGTATTTCTGTAGAGAGACTGCTGCACTGGTCGCGAGGCACGGCCAAGTAGCAAAACCACCGGTCAGTCAAACAAATGGGTACTCTCTCATTCGCGTGCACTTTCGTTTTGTTCATGGTTTCTTCAGCAGACAAGCACAGGCGTTTTAGATGCAAAGCGTAGGTTGTGGAACAAGCGACCCAGTACAGGTGAACATGCGCTGAATCAAAGATTTCGAGTGGAAGGCTCTGGACTTCAAACGTTAAAAATCTGAAGTTGAAGCGATACGGCCCTAACTCGTTCGTGAACATGGCTCTATTGGCGGTTGAGCCCCAAGACCAAACATGACATCAACGTGACATAAACGAGACCTGCAAGCTTGAAAGTCTGGGGCTCTGTGCCTGGCCTAAGCTTCGCAACTCTCCACGCTGTTCCTTTCCGCCAATCTGAGGAGTTGGGAAGTTTTCCGTAGCACTCAAAATTGTGGGAAGGTCTTCTCGGGGCCAGAAAATACAAGAAGGCTCGTTGCCGTCACTCGAAAACGCTCATGCCTTTACCAAACTTGCTTCAGAAGGGAAGGTTTGGACAGCTTTCGGTTCTACACCGAAAATCTCTGCATTTGGAACCTCCTCCCAATGGTCCACAACTGCGGTCTGCGAAGCTGGGAAAATTGGAGATGCCTTCCGAATGTTCCAATCGCTACTTGTGACAAACTTTGCAACACAGTGTGATGCCATTGAATCACAAACCCCTCCTTCTCTTCACGAGGCTTTGGAACGTTTGGCGAAGCAAGTGAGTGAAATCAATTCTCCGAGACCTATCTGTTCACGAAGATGACAGGATTCTCCTGCTTCACCTAGAGAATGCTCGAAACACTACCAGACGTTGATCATCAAAGTTTACTGTAGTTTTGATCGGGCCACGGCTGTGGTCAGCACGAGGCCGGACTGGCCGAAATTAGACGGCCGCAAAAGCACAGCAGGCTCGGGGGCATGCTTTGGAGCTTGCTGGGGAAGAGCCAAGGTCATCCCCGCTGTGCTGATTCGTGCACACAATCCACACCGGTGGTCATTGAAGGATTGGCGACCAGTGACTGGCACTCTAAAGTCCAAAGATAAAAGAAGAGATGAAAGACGATGCCCCGCGGACGTCATCTTAACGCCCCAAGAGTATGGATTGAAGGTCAACACCAATCAACCTTGCATGTGCGTCCATCTCCAACGGCCACTCGCACCGCTCCAAGAGACATTTGGAATGAGACGGACGTGGCACGCAACAGCCAAGCCCATTTACGGGAGCATTGCATGTTCCGTAAGCCAAAGGCCGGCGACTGGAGCCGGGGAGATTGTGACCTTGCATGATCTAACCGACAAGGAAGTTGCCCACGAGTGTGAAGAACCTGGGTTCGCCGGAATGCCTGCCATCCGCTTCGCCTTTCAGCCTACAAAGTCAGAACACAGCATGCCAGGAAGGCGACAACAAGCAGCTGTGAGTGACCCTGCCAGCTTCGCATCTCCTTCCGAAGCTCATCGCGAGCACCATCCCAGTCCTGCAAGGTTTGCTCCTTTTCACTTCTTGAACTCAACAGCATTCTGCAAACTGAAGCTCTCCTGAGTCAGCCTCGCACGGTTTCTTCAAAGGCAAGAGTACAAGAGAGCAGCTGGAATGACTTTGAATCAGCGAGGCTTTGGACGACAGGAAGCTACAAGGTTCAAGGAGAGTCAGAGAACGGAGGGTCGAGACTGTGACAAGATGTCAAAAGCCAGCCTCTGCCAGGGTAGAGCGCAGGCGATCAAAACAACTCCATCGTGGCTTGCAGCGCAGTGTCGTCCCGGCATAAATTTGCCCTTGACGCTAGCCTTCGATGTCACGCTTTCTCGTAAGCTCCGCTTTTGCCTTCATGGCCTTGACCGCAGCCTGGGCTTGACCAGCCGAGCGCTTCCGGCATCCGTGAGGATCGTCGCCACGACAGCCACTGTAGCGTGCACGGATTTGCACACCGGCTCGCAATTTAATCTGGATCCGGGAAGCACTGATGTTCGCGACATTGAACCACACATTCTGATGAGTTGCTTGAATGCACCGGGTACTGAAGTTACATTGCACAGCTGCACATGCACCGGTGCAGCTGTGCAAAGCTGTCGTTTGCGCGCGACGTCTGATTCTATTTACAGGCTTGGTGCAGCCACAGGTGCTATCGGAACACACTTAGGCTCCATTTCGGAGATGCATGTTGGCCATGCTCAGCACGAAGCCCTTTGATCGAAGTGTCTTCCCAAAGCGAAGACTGAGCCTTCGACTGGCCATGAGCCTGCTCAGTCCAAGAAGGAACATGAAGCCTTCGAGCGGATCTCTCACCATGCCTCGTCCTGACCGGCTGTCCTGCATCATATTACGAACCAATCTGTGTGCTTGTCGGCGCAAGCCAGTCACTAGTCCTCCGTTCCAGGGCGGTCTCGAGCACCCGGCATCTAGTCCGGGCTTCACGCAGCTCGCTGAGGAGCATGTCCCCAGGCACCTCCAATGATACTTCTCAGCGTTAGGCCTTATGGCGGGCTGCTCTACGCAACTGTGGCACATCGAGGGCATGCTGTGGAAAGATCGGACAGGCGCGCCCTGGGCGATTGCTTCACGGAAGCTTTCTAAGCTTTTTGGGGGAAAGCCGAAAGCCGGGGGGCCCCCATCTTGCGGAAGCTGCCGCTCGGCAATGTCAACGAGAGATCCCGTTTTTTTGCAAGAAGGGACGACTCTGATCAACAACCGAAATCATAGTACACACTAGGCCGCTCCTTCGACCAACATTTCGTCGATTTATGACACATTGGTCAGAAGGTCTCTGCGTCCAGCAAACATTAGCGGTTGCTGACCCCCGCTGCTACAATTGCTATGTCTTCCAGGACACCTTGTGTCATGAACCTAAGCAGCGAACGTCTTGTGAGTTTGCCTGCTCCGAATGGCTGCAGGCAGGGTAGGGCACTGCGAGCCTCGGCCGCGATTCGCTCAATGTCCTGCCTGTGGCTCACCACTCCGTTTCATGATCGCTCCATGTCGAACCAACCCAGCAGGAGCGTGGCACCTGATGCTCTCTTGTTCGCGAGCCTTCAGTAAAGGGAGCCGCGCGAACGTTTTGAATCCCTGGAGGCATGGGGCGAAAAGTGTGATGCGTCGCCTGGCCGTTCCAACGCTTTAGCTCGTGCAGAAGATTCGAGGGAGCCTGACTGGGGCAGCAAACATCAGCTGTCACAACGTGTCCTCCGAATCTCGAGCCTGCTGACGTTCCATGGCTTCGGCCAGGGCTTTGGTCAGACGGTCCTGCACGGCCAGAAGAAAGCTAGCTAAGCTAGAAGTTAGAAAGTTGGCTCACACGACGAAGCATAAGCTGTCATCCTTCTCCTTTGCATCGGCTTCCGCCCTCTGCAAATCTGAGGCGGAGCACTCGCCTAGGCATGGAATGGAATTCAGGAAGCCGAGCGCCCCACTTCAATGATGCAATGGTGCAATGCCAAAGAAAGTTGCACGCTCATCTCGTGCCGAAGCATTCGCCTTGATTCATGAAAACGAATGATGCTCCCACTGCCTCATGCTGCCTTTGTACTCTGAGGTCTGGGGACCTGGCACCTCCTTCTCCGACTCTGCCTCCAAATACCTTCGTGAGCTTTGAAGATGCCGTCCGTCCTGTGCGTGCGTGTCCGAGGCGCCGTGCCTCGCCGCTCTGCGCTGAGACTCCAAGTTGGCCTCGAGCAGGCGGACCTCTCGCTGCCTCGACCAGGGACGAGAGGAGAGCCGAGAGTCCCAAAAGAGGAACGGGACGGCTGAACTTCCAGAAGGCACGAATGCACGGCTGCAGCTGAGCTCTCTGCCTCGTCTCACACTCCAACCGGAGCCGCTTGGCATCTCCTGCAAGCCTCCGGCAGCAATAAGCAGATGAGAACCTCTGTCCATCGGCTCGGCATTCAATGGCCTGTCTCGGTCTGCTGTGACCTGAACCAGCTGTGCCTCGTCGCTTGATTAAAGCCCGGAGGCGACAGCAGGAAATCTGGAGCTCACGGGTCGAAGTCCCTGAAGCAGCTGCACCCTCTTGTTGCACGCGGAGCTGCTTCGCCTTTCAGGTGCCAGTAGACTCAGATGCCCAGTGCCTGTCTCCTGGGCGACCCCCAGCAATCTCCTCCTCAGCCCGCTCGGAACGCAGCTGCGTCAAGGCCTGATCACTGGTTGCTACATCGACTGGAGCCCGCGTCTTATCGACCTCCAGCAGCTTGCTCTTATCCTCCACAGCCTCGAGTAGGGCTAAGTGGCTCACACTGCATGCTATGATGCAATACGGGCCTACGTCTACGCTTCCCACCTCCTGTTTGGACCGGTGAGACTTCGCCAACTCTTCGCGCAGTTCTTGAAGCTGCGCTTGGCAGCTTGCTTGAGAAGCCTTCGACAAGATATTGAGTCCAAGCAGAACAGTTATTTTCTCTCAAGCAGTCTTGCGTGAAAGCATGGGAAAAGCATCAACACTGAGCGAGCCTTTGAGACTGTCGGCAATGCAAGTGCTTCGGTTGAGGCGACTGAGTTCTTTGGGAATTCAAGGAAGACCCCACAGCCATTCTTTGCGGACAGCCTGGCTCGCCTTCAGAATTATGCTCCCGGATCTCGCCTTGGTTGCTAGACGACGTGTTGTCGGAAACGATGTAGAGCGTAGTCGAAAATGTCTCAACATCCATGTATCTGGCACCATGCCTTTTCATGGGTATGCAGACATGGTTCTTGAGACGAACAAAAGCGGCTTGCTTTTCCTCAACACCAGTCCTTGCAGGAATTGGAGCCTGCCGCCGTCTTCTCAGGGTTTTCTGTCAGTGGTCTGCTGTTGCTCAGAATTGCTCCAGGTTCGAATGTCCTGCGAAGGCTGTCGTTTTGGGTTCAGGGCTTTCCAGTCACGGAGTCATCATTTCACCCGCCAACATTCCCGAGCATCCAATTGCACGTGACCATCGGCGCTTCTTGCCACTTGCGTGCCGTGCACAGACCGTGAAAGACAAGCTTCAAACTGTCCGGAACACGTCTGCACTACGGTTCTCACACGTTGCCTCTCACACGCGACGAATACGTCAACTCAAAACGTATGCTGGCACAGACCGAAGGCACTCTCCCGGCAACTCGCATATGCAGATGAAGTTGCTGAATCGGTCATGTTGAAGCATGACCAATTCAGCGAAAGAATACTTCTCGGACTCTGGATCGGCTTTGGTATGTTTGCATCTCTTAGGAAACACTCAAGTCGGCCGGTTGGATTTGAGCAAAGCTCATTGCCTGAGCCTTGTGCCGGAATTCCAAATGCCCAGCATCCTGTCGCCGACTCATCGCATGCCGCAAGAGCTCTCTTCAACAGGGTTTCGGTCGATGCCAGCACACAATGTGTGTGCATGTGGCCTACATTCGGTTCGTCGATTGCTGGGTAAATTTTGCTTGACAGTCCGGTTTGCAACTCAGCGAGGCTATCAGGCAATGTGGCTTTTAAACACGCAAAGCTGAATTTTCCTAGCATCTTGGTCGTACGTGATCAATTTGGATGGTGCTCCTTTGAAGCCCAATGGGATGTCACAACTGCCTGCCCGACGAGACGTTGTGTGGCCAGCCCACCATCTGGACGATGTAGTTGCTGTACCGCGAATCTGTAGAGAGAACTCTTCCAAGTGCTGGGGCCAAAATGTTCAAGTTGCACCAGCTGGACTGTGCCGCAGAAAGCAACTGCATGGACAGCTTGGAACGATCAAATCACGACAGCATGACCTGAACGGTAATCCTTCCCTCTGAAGGCTTCCGAAGGTCAACACCCGGCCGATGCCTGTAGCTTCGCGTTTTCTTCTTTCAACCGGACCAGGCAGTCCTGGAAGCGCTAGGATCAGCGATCAGCAAGCAGCGAGACGATTCCCTGCCAAAGCTCTCTTTGCGGGTTTAGGGTTTAGGATTTTTGGCGTATTCTCTAACAGTTGCAAATGCAAAGGCAGAGACCAGAGACCATGTCGGCCACCTCGGTGTGGCCGTGCTGGGCGGCTGCCTCTGTCAGCACAGATGCTTGCTTTGTTTTCAACAGGCCGAAGTGCACCTCTGCAGCCCCTTCACGAGCCCGCGTCCGCAGGGAGGACAACGCGCGCGCCAGCCTCTCCCTGGCAGCCTAATCGCTTCAGGCGCTTTTTGGAGCTTTGCTGCAGGCTCGCGCAGGTGCCTCATCCTGAGACTCGGCAAACCGCAGTCGCTCGACGATGACCTGCCCGGGCCGATTTGAAAGTTGATCTCGCCTGGCGCTCGCCCCGCCACCGCGTCGCCTCACGCTCCCGGCCGCTCAGCTGCCGCTCGTCATGAAGAGCAGCCTTTGGAACTGAAGAAAATTGCACAAGGGCCGCACAAGAAAGAGCGAAGGGCAAGGGCTCTCCCAAGCGCCTCAGTAGAGCGTAGTTTTTGCAGCAGCAGCTGGGCCTCTCGAGCGTTCAACGCCAGTGCCTTCACAGGCGCATCAGAATCAAACTCTCGAAAGGAACAGAGAGGTCGGCTGCGCTGACTTGGCCAAAAACTACCCGGGACCCAGACGATACTCCAGGTAGCTTGCAGATTGTATCCGAGATTTAATTCTTGCACGAAAGCCGACCGTCCAGCGCCTCCTGTCGCGATCCCGCCCAATCGTCGCTCCTGCACGCAGTCGCGCTTGAAGCCCAGAAAACGTTCACTCTCGTCTGAACCCGGCACGATTGAGTCATGGGCCCAGAGGGTCCAATCATGGAATGCGAGACGCGGAACGTTTCCGCCATCGGCGGCCATCTCGTCCCGGCCCGGTGCTACGCAGGTGTCCGTAGATCCGAGTTGGGGTCCGAAAGAGAAGGTCTACGTCCTAGGTCGTCGGCTAAGCCCAAAGCTTGACAACAAGAGCTTGAATCTGGCATATGCTGGTTCAAGCTTCCGAAAAGCACGGCGAAGGGCAGGACCATGACTAGCAGCCCTGCAGGACGTCCGTCGATTCGAGATGGCTGTATTGCCATCTATCTCCCCAGGTGAGGCAGGCAAGACCCAGGTCCCCTCTTCCCGCAACCACCACATGCTGTTTCCACCCACCCGAAATAGGGCTGCATACACGGCCACACGAGGCCCAAACTCAAACAAGTCAGAGGCGAGAGTGCGACTTCAAGTGCAGGTCGCTGATGTCACGTTCGAGGAGTTCGACATTCCTACTTCTGCAAACTTGCAGACCAGTCGGCCAAAAGAGCAGATGCAGACCTCAGCATGCAATACACGGGATGATTCATGACACCGAGAGAGGGCCGATACCTTTGGTGTGATCTCATTTCAGAGAACTTCGCGCAGTGGCTAATGACATAGACCGTCTAAACAGAGGTGAAGCTCTCACACTCTCTCACATGCCAAGCGGCCCTTGGCTTTGTGTTTTTGCGATAGCTTCAAGCGATAAGGGATGCGTGTCTCGTGCTCAGCGCTAGACGCTGGATAGGCTTACTACCAGTGTTTGCCATTGAGGCCTCTAGGATACCATGAGCGAGCGCACATCATGACCGTATCATGAACGATCGCGCCAAAGCTCCGTAAATCTGCATGGAAAAACGGGAGTGCAAGCAAATTTTAGTGTACAGGAAAACGCATCGTTCTAGCTCTTGATCCGCTCACCGGTCAAGAGTGTGTTATGAGTCGTAGAGAAAGTCATGCAAGTGCTCTGCTGGTCTCCGGTCCAGTCAGCTCCCCCGTTAAATTTGAGGGTAAAGTGACTGTCTTCTCACTCCTGGGCATCAAGTGCGCTATGGCAGCTGTGCCCTTGAGGCAAAGTTCAGCGGCACTTTCCGCCGAGAAGTTCTGACATTGCCCCAGTTTCTGCCACTCTCGTATGCTCTGTGCCAGGGTTTGGCATGCCCGTCTCACCGGAAGCTGTAGGGTTAGCTGCCGACAAGGAAAGCCTCAAACGTTTGTATTTGCACACCATGCCAAGGTGTTCAAGACGGACGAGATCGTGCTGAATGCAGCATGACGGGAGAGGCTGTTCGCATTATCTTCTTAGTTTCACTGTACTTACTTATAGCTCAACGAGACACTGAGGGAGACGCCAACATCATGAACATAATGCTCGCCCTCAGCTGCAAGCTCAAGAAGCACCAAAGCGTTGCGTCCCCACTGCGTCCTGCTTGCAAGCCAGGCATCAATGAGCTCTTCAAGTTCGCGCCCAAGCGCAGTGCGCTGCTGACGCTGCCGTTGCCCGAATCGGAGGTGTCCTGCTCGAAGCTTACGACCTGCAGAGCGACCACACCGGACGAACACTCACGGACGTTCCCAGATCTTCTGGAAGCTTTCTTCTTTCCGGACCTTCTGAGAATGTGTCCCAGCACCGGTGGCTTCGTCAACTTTCTGATTCAGCATCGTGTTGAAACTCTCTGCAGTGACCGCATCAAGCTTGGCCTGCACCTGTGCTTCGATTTGGCTTGTAAAAACCCGCTGAGCGGCAAAACTTCGGCCGAGCCTGCTCTACAGGCACAATCGGCACCAATTCGCCACCAGCACCCTCCACGAAGGGCACTGTCAGAATGTAATCGACCGTGATGTTGCCAGCGGCACCAGGAAACATCTGCAAAGCCTTGGTGGGAGACGTGACATACATGTTCTTCTGTGGGTCCCACTTGAATCGTCGCTCCCTTCAGCTAAGGTCTCAGCGATCCAGTGCTCATTGAGACCGGAAACATCTTCCATGACATCTTTGTAGGCAGTGATGATTCTAGAGTCTCTTATGTAATCCACGTACGTCGTCACATCTGTGACGACGGCACGGACAGACAGCCTGCCAGACAGATGTTTCTGCACGCGCACACGCACAACGCTGAAAGAAACTCAGCTTGCCCTCGCCTCTCCACTGCTGCGGGTTCGATCTCCGTGGTGGTGCTCGGTGGCGCTGTGGATTCGGGGATCTCGGTTATGGTGTGAGTAATTGTGTGGGTTGCCGTTGTTGTTATCGTCTCGGTTTCTGTTGCTGTGTGAGTAGAGGTTTCGCTTGCAGTGGAAGTTATTGATGTCTCGGTCAGCGTATGCGTGGCGGTGACAGTTTCCGAGATGCTCGTGCTGGTCTCCGTGTGTGTCACCGAGGTGACAGTCGTTGCTGTCACGGTCTGTGTGGTGGTTGTGGTTGTCACACAGCATGGGCTGGCACATGCTGTAGAACATCCCTCCACACTGCTGACACCTGGCGGATGCAAAACCGAGCTTCTGCGAATCATCCGACCCATTCTCCAATGAAGCATTGGGACTGTGAGACCTGTCCGTTGCAGGCGGACCTGTGCAGGTGACGCCAGCATTGGCGAGATCGGCACAAGAGATCTGGCCAAGGCAAACGAAGTTCCACGCTGCATCTGAGCATCCTAAGCTGAGAGCACCAGCCGCCCACAGTCCCACAGGCAAGAAGGAGCTTGCGAATTCTCACCAAGCGACCCTCCGGCTTGTCTATGCCAGATGCCTGAGATATCTGAGATAGCAGAAGCCACGGCACGAAGGCCCACCCCATGGCGAAAGCTGGTCGCCAGTGTGCAGCTAGCCGGGTCCCAAAACAAGGCAACGCCTTGATCCGCACGAAACACGTGCAGCGCCTTGTGAAGCCGTCACGTCACGTCTCACAAAACATGTGCGGATGCCTACAAAGTGTTGCACATTTGCGACTAGTGCTACCATGTCGGGTCTAGACAGACGCAGTCCTTCCACCAGTGCATTCAGCTCAAGTCTGCGGTCGGATGAGCTCTCCCCACGCAGGCAGCCGAACTCTCTTTTGGTTTAACTTTGGTTCTGGTTACCTCTGCAATCACAAGACGAAGACGCTTTGTGGCATGTTGTCCCGTGGAGACAGTCTCATCAGAAGAGCTTACTGTATAGCAGACTCTGTCGGCAAACGCGGCGATCCTCGAACAGATCTTCGATTTCGCGCTTCGCGCTCCGGCGACATGCAGAGCAGACTGGAGGGGGAAACAGCTCACCGGCAGTCTCGCTGCCACTGCAGCATGCACTGCTGCAAGGTGGTGCGGACATCCTGCACGGCCAGATGCTAACATGTCTCGTATAAGGCAGAAGGCAGAGAAAGCAATGCGGCAGTGCCGCGATCCTTCAGCGGTGCCTCTTGCAACAAGACCTCCAAGCGGATTCCAAGCGGCGGCAGCGAATGGAAAAGAAACGTTCACGGTTGGAGCCTCTCCGAGCTGCCGCGGGCCGATCTCCGACTGTAGGCCGGGCAGGGCTCCGACCTTGGCACCGAGGCACTGAGGCACTCGACTTCGCAGAGGTGCCGCAGCGGCATAGCGTTGGGCCAGGACCAGCGATTGCTGGAAGGCTTCCTTTGTCTGTTGAAGCTGCGCCTGGAACGGCATAGCACTTCCCTTGCGTCAACTCTGACAACAATGGGTACCCACCTGTGGCTGCACTCTTGGGTTCATCACCGACCGCAGAATCGAGGCTGCCTTGGTTGTGCCAAAGACAAGATACTTTCATCTTTGCACGGCGGGAGGCGCTTAGATTGTGCAGTGCTTGTCACAGGAATGAAGCTGTGCTTGTTGTTCCTAAGATCTTGGACCCTGGAGGCTGGATGGCCACCTTCGCATTGTATGGGTGTCAGCGAGTGCTTCGCCCTGGGAGTGTTGCCCCGGCTGCTTTCCTCTTTTTGAAAGGCGAAATGCAACAAACCTGCAATCCTGAAATCAATCAAGGCATCTGCCCTCTTTCCGGCAGCCCTTATGGAAAAACAACAAGTCGCATCCAAGGACGGGCTTTCCGGCATCGAGGCATCTTAGACCGTTAGAAAACACCTCAAACATCGAGGTGCCCTTCCGGCTACGCTGTTTGTCCCCAAAGCCCTGCATTTCTCAATACTCGCTCGAGAGTGCCCGGCTGCGACAACTCGTTCGCCGAGGTGCCTCGCTGAGCACTTTCTGAGACTGGATATCGTTGTAGTCCAGGCCTTGGACTAAAAATGACAATCCAGCATGGTGTCTCACAGCACGCATGGAGCTAGTAAGGAAGCTGACACATGCTGGGAGGCTTATGCACCAAGGCCCCCACGTGCCGCCGACCAGAGCATTCTCTGCAGCAATTGTGTCTCGGGGCGAAATCTGGATTTGCTGCGATGCGATGGGTGCGCTGTGTCTGAGCTCTAGACCATTGGGAAGCTCGCGATGGCCTCACACAGAAGGCTCCCACAGCAAGCGTGTGTGACACAACGAACTCTTGTTCGTGCCGAGCAACAGCTGCCGCCTCGCTTGAAGACGTTGCCGCTTCCAGCAAAGCCTTAGAAGCAGCTCCTGAACGCTGGACATGGAGTCTTTAGAGACAAAGGAACCCGTGTAGCTAAACTTCGATTCAGGCGCTGCCCAGGCGGATGCAGAGTAGAGCACTGCCTTGATCCTCGGGCGCAAAGAAGATACCAAGGAATCAGTCAGAGTTCCATCGGTCTGTGGCAGGGACTCGCTGGCATCCTGGAGGCCAACCCTGCAAAAGAGAAAGTGTGCACCAAGAAGCATGAGAGAAGCATGTCTGGCGATGCTTGTCTGAGCTCTCTACAACAAGAAGCCGGTCATCTCCTGACCGTGCCTTGACATGCAACTCTTCGCTCTACCGGATTCCCAAAGCTTTCACGAGCCTTGTGTTCGTAAGCATGGGTTCCAACAGCGCGCTTGGACAACGCCTGGGCACCCAAAGCTCGACAAGACTCTGCAAAACAACCTGAACTCTTCTGGGCTCGAGACTGTGCTGCCTCTTTAAGAAGCTGCAACATGGCGTTTCCTAAGTTGCGGCACTCAAGTTTAATCCCTACAGCCTACAGCGTTACCAGCGAGACTGCTGCAGCTCCGAGCTTCCAAGCTCCAGCTTCTCGCGCTTGAGCTGATCCGACTGCTCAGGCATTTGTTGCCACCTGGTTCTTCAAACACAAGTGCAAGAAAGACAAGACGAGACGATGCTCGTCTTGTCAGCCAAGCCCTTTACACAGCCAGCGGCCGCAGAAAGGTCTGATGCAGCCTGAGAGTTGTGGGAGTGTTGATTGCAAGCGTGCCGACAAAACGTTGGGGCAGCCTTTGCTTTGCGCATCGGATCTCTTCAGCATCGCATACATGATGAATGCAAGCGAGCTAGTTTTGGCTTGCGGCTTGCGTCCACAGAAGACAAAACAATGCAATTGACTTGCACGGCAGGTCTCTGCTGGACGAGAAAGCATTTCCGTGTTGGAAAGCTTTCCTCGTTGCATTCAATTCAGACATGCCCTGCCCAACACACATTACGCATGCACGCTGTGCATGCTGTGCATGTTGTGCATATGTGCGGTGAGTGAACTGTCGTTGAAAATCTTCAAAAAAGCTTCCCGGGGCCCAAACTGGCCCGAGCCTTAAAAGAGAACAGCTATTTCCAGCACCTTGACGTTGCAGAAGTTGAGGTAAGTATATGACTGTGAGATGGCCCGAGGTGCGTTGTCCCTCGCTGGTCAAGGCCTTCTGAGCTGGCAAACCCGGCACTGTCTCTTTGCATGTCAAGCGTCATCAGAAGGTTGCTCTTGCAAGGTCCTGGGCACCCGCATGGAGCCTTCCTTTGCCCTAGAAGATGTTGCTTCTTCAGTGTTAAATCTGCTGCACCACACCCTCGGGCCTTTCCAACCCCTCAACCCATGTGGCCTTCGCAAACCTGGCATACAGTAACTGTCCTCCATTCAACGAACAAATCGAATTTGGGAAGTGCTGCTGCAGAAGAAAACAGAAACCTCTCGGCTGCGGGAATGGTTGCATAACAGGTTCCGTTGCTGTCAGCAACCGCCACGGCAGGTCGTAGGTATTTACACACACAATTTTCTACATGTATATATATATATATATATATACATATACATATATGGATGTCCCGGATTTCCTCGCTGTCCTGCAAAACCCCCTCAACCAGTTCACCATTTCACCGTTCATTTCCCCCATAAAGTCAGGACCGCTCACCAGTTCACAATTTCACCAATTAGGTTGGCCCCATGTCTAGAGTCCAAACCAATAAAGCATTTCACCAATTAGTTTGACCCAGAGACCATTTCACAATTTCAGCGATTAGCGTGGCTCTAGCCCAGAAACCAGTTCATCATCTCACCATTTCACCAAACCATTTCACCATTCAGTTCCCCCATATGTTCAGGCCAGTTCACCGTTTCACCATTCAATTTTCCCCATATGGTCAGACCTCCTCAGTTCCATAGGGCTAAACATTCTTGTGAAATGGTGAACTGGTTTATGGGTTAAGGCCAAACTAATTGGTGAAATGGTGAACTGGTCTATGGGGTTAGGGCTAAGCTAGTTGGCGAAATGGTGAACAGGTTGGTGGGTTGGGGCCAGACTGATTTGTGAGATGGTGAACTGGCTTATGGGTAAACTAAGTGGTGAAATGGTCAAATGGTTTATGGGCTAGGGCCAAACAAATTGGTGCAACGTTGAATTGGCGAAATGGTTTCGGGTGCGTCATCACCCCATATGGTTAGTCCTCCTCACCTCATAAGACAACGGTAACTGGTGAAATGGTGCATGGGGGAAAGGAAGCGTGGTTTTGGGTACCAAATCACTCGAAGGATCAAACCGACTGGTGAAACGATGAAGATTGTCTGTTGGTTTAATGGTGTCGGGACGTACCTGTCACATTGGTAAACTGAATGTTTGAAGGTTCGAAATGCTTATAAACCAGTGTTGTGGTAGATAAACTTTGGGAGGGTCTCGTTGCATAATAAAACATACGAAATGAATCTATCTCATTAGTATTTCATCCACACCGAAATCCAAAATTTCGTTTGTTTAGGTGTTTCAGGAAGATTAAAACTGCAATGAAGCTAAGCAGGGACTCGGAGAATGGGTGGTCCTCGGCACCTATTCGGTGTTTTGAGCAATGGTGCAGTGTTTGTGTCGGAATTCGCATATTCCGCGGACCATATGCAAAATCCCGCGACTTGAGCGGAAGGCCATGGTGCAGGATCTTTCTACTGACCGTTCCAGTACATCAAGGTAACAAGAGAGCAGGCAATCTATATACATACTAAGCGAATAGGCACTTACATGTTACTCGTCCAGGAATGATAGTGTGGAACATGGCGTGGCTTCTACCGGGGTTACATACAATATCTCAGTCCGCTTTATCAACATTGGAATACCAAGCTACACAGAAAATGGAGATACGACTAACAAGACCTCATTGTAAGCAGAGACAGTCTTTTTTGTTTACAACTTGGTTAGGTTTCATCACTTCGTCCAAAGTCGAATTGGTTACAACATGATTTCCAAACGTCTTTCCAAGGAAGCAGGATGTGACAGGAATGACAAGAATATAAGTGGTGAGCAAGCAAATTTGCAGCTTACAAACTGTTGGGCTTGCTCTCGGTACGTAGAAAGCTCCTAGTACCATTTTCTAACACGAGAAATCACATTCTGGACTGGGACAACGGCTTAGGTAGCCCACCAGTAGATGTTCACAAGAACACAAACAGAAATGTGGCATGGCGCGGGACCAGCAAAGTCGACAAAACATGCACGAGATAAGGCGGATACAAAGTCTGTGTAAGGACGAGCAGTATCTTGCATCTTACAGACTGCTTATGCGCTCACAATATGGACAAGCTTCACGAGGCTTGTGCTTCGCAGTCGGCTTTACGTGATGGTTCCGGTATGCCGATACAAGAAGCAAAGGCTTCGTCACTCGGTATATAGAAATAGTGTCAAGGCTAAGAAGCGACACTGCATGTATACTATTGTCCCAGAGGAGAAACACTGTACAAGGTTTGCTAAGTGTGTAGCATGCAAGTTGTTAAATGCAGTATGGGGCTGTCATTATACAGAATTAAGGAATGCAACACCCAAATGCCCGCATATGCCGGAGATACCAGCGTTAAACGCAGTTGCATACGGGCACAGGGATATGATATTGAGAAGTGTATGTAACCAAAACTCCATAGCAATGCTTTCAAAAACAAACACTTACAACGGGATTGCGGCATCAAAGTACAAATATTTAAAACTCTCGGTTCCAAAATCCAAGCTGCCATAGAGCATGACTGAACCAAACTAATCACGAAAGGCACATTTGCAAGCAAATTGGATCTACAAGGGTTTCGAGTTCAGAGTTGAGAGAGCAGGCACACAGGCATGAAATGCGAAAATGCATCGACGGCTGCGATGCAAGAATTTTATACCACACTCTAGCACGAGGTTGTTGTAGAATTCATGACGTTGTACGGGCTTGAGCTGGTCAGCATTCTGAAAGCATGGATTGTTGGAATGATAGGTGCAAGTAACCAGGATTTGCAACTTCCTCGGTCTATCTGCAAACTAAGTTTGCAGAGATGGTGAGGAACGCAACGAGGTCGTGGCTTCTGTAGGGGGATGATACGTACTGGACCGAGCCGTTTGAAAAACATGCACAATCATTAATAGAAACTTAGATATTGCGTGTTTCATGTTGGCTGCGACTTGGACACAAAGACACGATGCTTTTGGTCCAGATTCAATCATATCAAGGGCTTATAAACTTTGTCTGGGCTTATAAAAGGTTTTCGAAACCAGCTGCTGGTTCCACAGTAGTACAGCAGTGCAGAAATGCAGGGGGGGAAATACGCAGCCCATACCTATGTGTGTGTGTATATATATATATATGCTTATATATATATATATGTTTATATAGACGGAGAGACTATGTCTATGTGTAGATATACATACATACATATATGTATGGAAGAAGTGCCTTGCATCTGCTCTTGGAGTCAAAACCCTCTGGGAAAGTGCAGGGCTACCTCTGATCCATCCCTGCGGAGCCCACCAAAATCACTCGGGACTATTTGGCAGGCCGATCTCAGCGCGTTGTGTGCGGCGGGCGGTCGAGAACATTCAGGAGCCTGCCACGCAACAAGAAGCACCGGCCGTCACATGATCGCTTTCACAGTATGCCTGGGGATGCGAGGAGGCAAATATCCCGTCAAAGCCACCCGCTTGCCGCCCTCAATTTGACGAGGTCATAATTAACAGGACGACTTCATTTCATCGATTGCTAAGGTTGCCGACCCCATTCAGCACCGGCTGCAAAAGATCATCCAATGTCCTTGCTTTCACACGGAGCAGCGGGTACTTTCAACCTAAGGCACCAATCCCCTGCAGCTTGCCGTGGCTACAGATAAGTGCATTGTCACGACCCGAACAAAACACGTAAGCCTTTGGTGCAGGTCAGAAATCGGCTTCAGCAACGCACGTGTTGAACGCGGTGAGTGCGTCAATGGTGATAGCTTCCGCCTTGATGCCTTCGGGTTGAAGATTTCCTGGGCGGCTCATGAACAGAATTTGTATCACATTGCTGTACAGGTGGCGCACCTGTTTCGTCGATTGTCTCCAGCGGACTTCTGCTAATTGGTCGCGATGCCGAGTCTAAACACCAAACCCACGAGGCATCTCGCGACTAAATCCGACACCTTGCTGTTGGCAGCTCCTCTAAAAGCTGGCACACGGGACACGTCAGCACCAAGATGCAAATCGCACAAGCCCGGCGCAAAACTGTCAGCAGGCTCGCCGACACTGAAGTAATGCGACCATGCAGACAGTGGAAAGCGCGGCTAATAGCTATTGGCGCTTGAGTCATTCTTACTGAGTGGACTGAGCATAGTGAGTGAAGTGAGTAGAATGAGTAGAGTGAGTTGAGTGAGTGGAGTGAGTGGAGTGAATGGGGTGAGTGATGGTGAGTGATGGTCGGGCGGGTGGGCGGGTGGGCAAACAATCGGGAGTGAGTGAGTGACGGAGGTAGCAAGGAATAGTGAGGGAGTGAGTGAGTAGGGAGAGAGACGGAGGGGGAGGCGGGGACGGCAGGGGAGTTGAGCTTATGGAGGTGCTCTCGTTGCCACTTAGGCTTCACGCTGGCGAATTGTAAGGAACAAGAACTGGGCAGGCCGTCAACAGCAAAGCCGGCAACAGGACAACACAGTGTGCCGTCCTCACAAATGTTCTCCGACAGGGCTCTTCCCCGCAAGC